CGCCCCGGGAAAGCATCTGAGAGATCCACATGCAGACTTAACCACCGCGCCGGCCCTGGGAAATTTATTATAGGAATCATAAAATTAACTTTGTGGTTACTTCTTTATGAGCTGCTTTAAACTGATCCAGAAAAGCTGCACGCACGCGGCTTTGGGATAAGCTGCTCAGGATGTAACTCTGGAGGGGACTTTATAGCACCCTGCTCAGTTTTAAAATTCAGTGTACTTCCTCCCAGAAGAGGTAAACGCAACAGATGTCTTCCTGAGCGCTTGGAGAAGAACAGTTTTCTCGTCCTTGCGTGTTTTGTAGAGACTTCACAAAGGACTTTTCCCCACTTTTTCCCCCCCCGGAATGCTTTCAACATCAGCCACCTCTGCACTCCTACAGCAGAGCAAGGTCCTTCACACCAGCACAAGGGTACCCACCACAGCCTCCCTTCCGTGGCGTTCAGGTGAGGTCTCAACCCTGCCAGCCAACATCACATTAATGCCACAGAGGTGCCAGGAAAGCAAAAGGGAAGGAAATGCCACTTTTAAAAAAAAGACAACACGCACAGATGACAAAGCAAAGCACTGGATCCTGGTAATCCCATGTCATGAAATCTACGTTTCTCCAAGTCCGCTGTAGCTGAAAACAGATTTTACAGCAGTTGAGTTTATAACCCACCATCTCGCCCTTTGTGTATTTTAAATTTAAGAAAAAAACAAACAAACAAACAAACAAAAAGGACAAAACCCAAACAGCAAGTTCATTGTAGCTCAGCTCTAATAGGAAGTGGCTCAGTTTACAAACGCCAAAAGCATCGCAAAGCATATCCTGCGGTTTGGGTGGATTGGTGGGTCAAAGGCTTATTGATGGCTCTGGCAGCAAGATCTGCCTTACTGCTTAGGAGGGAAGACTTCAAGTGGCCCAATTTAATGCAGCCATTTACTTCCCTAAGGAAAACAGGCGGCTTCATTCTGTCAGCCTTTCTGCATCCCTCCAGCCGCCCCTCGGTGGACAAGCACTCCTAATATTTTGTCCTTTTTCAAACAGGATAAAACCAGACTGTGCATCTCTCAGGACAGCACGAGATGGAAGTGTGACCCCTGGGCTGTTGCCAGGAAGGGGTCCTAAATCCAAACCCAAAACCCTGTCTGAAAATGAAAAGGTGCCAAAGGTAACTGATAAAAAATGAAAAACTGACAAAAAATGAAAAAGCCACTTTCCAGCACACAAACCCTCGCCAGAAAATGATCCTCGTTCCACCAGGACTCCCTGGGAACAGCTAATGGCATAGGTTCACTTACACTGCAAACACAGAGAGGGAAGGACAAACAAGGGAAAACAATCGAGACATTAAAGCAAACAATTAGGAAGCAATTAAGACCGGACATCACAGCGTTGTAGTAAACACAACTTTCACACTGAACAATGCCTTTCTTCCTATGCCTTATTTTTTTTTCCTCATTCCAAATGTTTCTGAGAAGGCAGTATCTTAAGAACATTTAAAAGTGATTTTATGGGAACGCATTCCCATGTGGAGAGCCCTTTCCCGGTTCTTACAGCAGTATTACACTCATGAAGCTAAAAGTGAAGCAAAGTAGTGCATTAAAACACAGGGAGATAAATATCTGGATGCCTGCTCTACTTCCCAGACAACTCAGTATCTCGGGAAGCTGAGGAAGGGACAAAAACAAACAGCCCTGATGCTCTCCAAGAGCAGCAGCAGCCTGGAGAATCGGGAAGGCCGCACTCCTTGTCAGTCTGGAAACAAACACATCAGCTCAGATTTTGGGATTATTCTGCAAGAGAGGTAAGGAGGGGGAAAAAAGTAACATCTCACTGTATCTCCCGCACATATATTTACAAACAAAGTGTGATTTTAATTTAATTTAAAAAAAAAAAATTAACCCGTGTGCAGCATGAGAAGCAGCTGCCAGGCTCCAATGTGCTGCAGAACGAGCCAGACAAGGGAGAACTCATTTTGCCCTCAGTTTGGTTTACAAGTTAACTTGGCCTTCACTCACAAACATATGTGCCCCCAACAACAGCCCTCACCCTCCCTTGCTGCTTCCAGCAGCTCCTAGTCTTTCCCAGACTCATCAGGCAACAACTACTTAAACAAACCTCATTTTTAGAAAAAAACTGTGCTGGAATCTTCTGAGAGGGATTCGCTGACATAAAGATGAATTTTTAAATTTTTTTTTTAAGAGACAACTTCAATAATAAAAACTCTTCCATAAAAAAATTGGTTTTCATCTAGCTTCTTTTTTATGTAAGTTTTGCCAGCCGAGGATAACATGGGCATGTCACCAGATGGCACGCCCACCAGAACTATCTTTAATTTTTTTCCCTTGGAGATGTAAGCTGAAGTACCTGCAACTATGCTGTAATTTCCTTTTAGAGAGAACTTACCAAGCAGAGTTTTTTTGGAACTGAAGATATTTTCTAGCCCAGTTCCCATTTTTAAACCCTTTTTAAAAGATTCGGGACGACCTTACTCAACCATCGGAGGGGTTTATAAAGTCTTTTCAGAAAGGAAGAAGCGGATCAGAGAGGGAAAACGGCGGCGCTGAAAATAACAATTGCTGTCAAAACCGAGTTATATTAATTCAGTGACTCGCCTCACAAGACAGTCTTTTTATAATGTTCCCCATAACGAGGGAAGACAATGGTTCCCCTTGATTTTCCTTTCCCCCCCCATGTAGCTCTATCTGTCACCGGCCATAGCAACAGGGAAGAATAGCCCCGGATTTGCCAGCGGACAAGGCCCGGGCGAGGGGGGCCCCCGGCACCCTGTGTTATCCCGGCACAATCGCCCTGTTATTTGACAACCAGCGAGCCTGCAGGAGAACACGGCTCCTGGCATCGTGCTGAGTGTCAGACTGACAAGCTCCAGCCAAGCCCCTGGTGATAAACCTGCACGGCAGGTTGGGAAAACCTCCCCGGTCTCAGCGTGTCTTTGCTGCGAGTTCCAAGGCGTGAGTCAGCTCACGAAAGGACAGCAGTGCCACTGACACACAGAGAAAACACCTCTGGCACCTCCACACCACGAAAACCCTCCGTGAAAAAGTACCGTGAAAAACTCTGTTACGAGTACTGTGAACGTGGGGGGGGAGTTGCAGTTCGAAATGGAAGCCGGCGGTGCTAAGCCTGCAGAAAGTGTAAGGATATCCAACCACTATCTTGGAATAACTCTTGGTCAAACTTGAATTTTAACTTGATAAGGTGATGCTAGCTTTTTGCATACTTAAAAAAACCCAACCAAACAAAAAAAGCATAACTCCCTGCCAGTTACACAGAAAGTTTCCCTGGTCACCCTGAGGCCTACCAGGCATTTTTTGATATTTTTTTTTTTAAAATCCATTTCTATACTGCAGATGAGCAAATTAGGTGCTGTCTACAGCACTCTGCCAACAGCAGCTGAGGCAGCTCTGCCAACATTTCTGGCTTTGCCGTGCAGCAACTCCAGTTTCCATTTCTATACTTCGTGCAGAAAGATCACTTGGAACAATGGAGGTGGGGGTAAAGGTTTGCTTTCCTAGGTTTCAGAAGGGTCTGGAAAAAGAAACAAGCATCTCATTATTGCCTGTGACAGAGGGTGGAGGGTTTCGTGCTTTTCCATTCCCAGTTAGCCAAATGCCACGGAGAGGGAGGCTCTCTAATTTGCAAACCAGACTCCCAGGACACTCGAAATCCTGTCCCCCCTTCTCCACCGCGGCAGCTGAGAATTATGAAGGAGGGGGACAGCTGGGCTTCTCATTAGGAGCACAACGCCTGAATCCATGGACAATCATCTGTACCCACCTCCCGCTCACAGCTGAGAGGTGTCTTTCAAAACCTCTCTGGGGGTATGGAGCGGGTTTGCTGCGGCAGAGTCCAAAGATAAATGCAAGGCAGGGATTGAGGAGGAAGCCGGCGCCGGGGTTATTGGTCTCCATGAGAACGCAACTCTCTCACTAGAACGCTCCAGAGCTCGGGAGATAAAAGCCTCCTCTCTAAAAGCAGGCTGCGTTTGCATCTGCTGGTTATCGGTGTAAGTCTCTAACAACTGGCAGATATTACGGACACGGTCCCACTAACTGCTCGCAAGGAACTGGGAACGCTCAGCGGGGCCAAGGCCTTAATGGAGCTCGGCTCTGCCAGGGCGCCTTTTTCAGCTGCCTGGGTCTCCCTTCTTTCCCTAGAGCGCATCCCCGCCTTAATTAATAGGTCACTGAACCGGTTTATGTTAATTGTCACAAAGCACCTCGCCTTTGTTCCCAAGGGGAGGGACCAAAGTTCACTCGGTTGCTGCCCACGAAGCAAAACTGCCGAGTGTGGGGTTCTGCGCACACCTGGACTTGCCACCGATTCCTCGGGGAGCTTTTTTTATGCCGCAGTAAAGCTCGGCCGGGTCCTTGGCGGGGCTCAGGCCCCCCCTGCCCCATCACCTGCCCCGGGATTCACTTCCACGCTCCAGCCGCTCCTAACTCAGCTGGGGCACGCAACGCTACCGCACCAACTTCTGCCCGCCGGGAAGGAGGAAAACATTACGGAAACATCACAAAAGCCGGGGGAGACCCTTCGGGTGGGCGTTCTACCCTGCCCCCGCTCTCGCCTGCCCAGCACGGCGCTCACCGGGAAGGTGCCCCGGCTGATCCGGGGACGGTCCCGAACTCGCGTCCCCCCGGAGGGGAAGCCGTGCGGGAAGGGGAAGCCCGGCTCGCTCGCCCGCCCTCCAAACGCCCTCGCGGCGCAGCGGCGGCCGCCCCCCCCGCGCTCCCCGCCGGCTGAGGGCAGCGGCTGCTGCCGGGGCCCCCCGGGGGACCGGGGCACAAAGGGAGAGAGCGGCGAGCGGGACGGAGCGCGGCCGCCAGGCCGGCGGGGAGCGGCGGGCAGAGGGCGGGCGGCGGCCGCGTCCTTCTCGCCGGGGCTGCCCTGCTGTGCCCTGGCCGGCGGGACGGGGCAGAGGGAAGAGGAAAGGACCCCCCCACACACACGCCCCGCGGGTACTCACAACAAGAAGCTCATGGCGATGGCGGCGGAGCGGGACCGGCGGCTGCCTGGGCTCGGCGCGGCTCGGCTCCCAATGGCAGCGCAGGGCGGGCGGGTGCGGGGAGAGCGCCGCGGGGCGGGGACACGGCCCGCCCGGCCGCCATCGCCCCCAGCGGCCCCCGCGCCGCCGCCTCCCTCACGGCTGCGGCCGCGGGGCCACCGCTCCTCCCGCTTCCCTCGCGGCACCGGGGCTGCCCCTCAGGGCCCCGGGCACGGTGATCCCCCTCAGGCAGCCCCTCTTGGCCCCGGGCACGGCGATCGCCCTCGGGCATCCCCTCGGGGCGATCCCGCCCCGCCGCCCCCTCACAGACACCCATTTGTGCCCTCCTAGACAACTCCCTGGAAACGGGGACCCCCTGCCCCTCCACAGCCGCCCTTCTCCTCAGCGATGGCCGTGTGTCCACCCTCAGACATTTCCCTGGAAACAGGCACCCCCTGCACCTCCGGAGCCCCCCTCGTCCCCTCAGGCCTCCCCCTCTTGCCCTCAGGACAAAGGGATCCAGGTACCAGCCCACAGGTCACCATCACTGTCAGAAAAATAAGAGGAAGGTCTTAACCAGCGTTTGTGCTCCTGTCACGCAACCCTTTTTTTTTTTAGAGAAACTCGTCAAAATGGATTCTGATATTTCTAATACGTGATTTGTGAGCAATTATAACTGGGCTGGGTGCGGGTGAGCAGTCAAGCTTAAGAAAGGCCACACCTCAGAGGTGACGCTATGGGCAGCTGCAAAGTGCTGAGCTAAAAAAACTCCACTTTTTTTTTAAGAAAACCTTGCCAGGCAGATTTAATCACATCCCAGTGCTTTTTATGGCAGAAATTACAATCCCAGGGTGTAATTTCACACAAAAATCTGCCTCTGTTTAGGTCAATAAGAAGTCGGATTTTGGAGAGAACACAGGACAGGCTACACAACCCCCTGAGATTCCCTCCTGCCCCAAGGGGATTCAGCAACCCCAAAAACCTCACACTGCTGCAGGTAGGCCAGAGGAAAACCTTATGACTTTCAGATTTATCAGGCCAATTCTCTACATCAAAATAGCCTACAATCCCACAAAACAGTAAGGTTATGTGGCACATCAGGGGTGCCTTACGTGGCCACACTGACAGTCATCTGCTTCTCTCACGTTTTTAAATGCTGAAACTGCATTTTCTACTTTCTGGCTCTGTCCTTCAGCCCAAGTCAGAATGCCAGGTCAGTGCATTTCTAAGTAAATTAAAATTACACTACTGTTTTTAGGACACCTTTAAAATCCAGCGTTTCACCAGGCAGCAAAGGTGTAATTAAAAAGCATTTCGCGATGCTTGCAATTTTCCTTTTGGCTGTATTAGCAGAAGCATGAAATGGGTCTTAGGGCACTTTTTAACAGACGCTGTCAGACTAAATCAGCCACGTTAATAAAACAAAAATACATCACTGATCTTTCTGGCACATTCACGCTGGGACACGAATAACCCGCGTTCCCCGCTCCCACCCCGTGCGCTTCCTCCTACCCACGGAACGTTTTATTCTAGCGGCAAGTTAAAATTAAAAAAAAACGTTTGTTTACTGCAGTAGGAAACACTTGGCCGGGAGAAACGGTTACGTAACGAGTAGGTTTTTTATGCCTCACGTTAACATCGGTCCGTTTGGGATGGCTGAGGGTCACACGGAGGGCTCCCTTCAGACAACCCGAGGGGCTGGCAGCGCGCGCGGGCTTACGCAAGAGCCGAACCGCTCCGCCGCTCCGGGAAAGGCACGGCCAGCGCTCCCCTGGCCCCACGTCTGTCATTTCGGTTTATCCATCGTGCTGCACAGCTTAGAGAATTCCTCTGAAAGGGCCCTCCAGCTGACAAAGCGCTTCGGTGCTGAGCTGAAGTTTCCGGCTTTTCGGCGCAGCCGGGTTAACGCGGAACATTCCAGCTGAAAGAAGCTCGGAAATTAAGATCGCAGAACTTAAGGGGATGGGGGAAAAAAGGAAACAACATTTTGTTTTGAAATGCAAATAATACAGTCTGTAACTAAATATGAATATTTTTGGGAAAATTATTATTATTATAATATTATTATTATTAACTAAATATGAATAATTTTGGAAAATACCACAACAGAACATAAGTTCAGTTTTTCTCAACGATAAATTACACAGAGGGATAAGGAGTGTTTCCCAATATAAGATAAGCACCTGTTTTAGTATCACCTCAGAAGATTTTCATTTTCTCTCTGATCAGGCTAAAGGATAGCTGGTATTAATTATTAATTATTCTCAAAAACAACCTGTTTAACAAAATTGAAGAAGCATCAAAAAAGGCATCTCCCAAGGCAGATAAATTGAACCTCTCGGCCCACAGCAGTATGGAGTCATCTCCTGAGATTTTCTATTTTTACAGAGGCAGATTCCCTCTCCTAAGTAGACTTCACTCAGCACCAGTTCTGTTGAGTGAGTAAATGCAAATTCTCTTGTCCTAGGATGACTTTTCTTTTCCTATCATAGGTGCAGAAGCTTTGATTCCTCATGTAACTAAGGAAGCTCTGAGATTCCTGGGCAACTTCAGTGCCAACAGATGCCCAACAACACGATGCTCTCTAAAGCTAGCTTGCACAAACCTGACCAGCTGCCAGACAAGCATCAGTGAGTATTTTTTCCTGTACTTGGGAAGCAAATAAATCAAAGGTAAAATGGGTGGAAGATCTGCATCCCTTCAAGGGACTCTTCCTTGCACCCTGCTTGGGTCACAAGAGAGGAATGCACACAACATTCCCTTGGTCCCTAAGATTCAGGGATCTGCTTATTCAATTAAACTGAAAGCACGACAGCCAGTCTAGATACAGATAAGTGCTCAAGATGCATTCCTATAGTTACCTTAACTTTTTTTCTCCTCTAATGTTTGCTTGCTTATTTAAAGGAGGTTTTGAAGAGAAACCTGACAAGTAGGCTACGAAAAATTGGAATGTGAACCCCTTGAGCACCAAGGTCAACATTCCTTTGAAAATGTGCATAATGCGTGATTTACCTTGAAAATTCAGAAGGGTTGAGAGTGCTGTTGTCAAGAGGCTGTGCTGTTATCAGGGTTTTAGTCTGTCATGTGAAAGTTTGTTACAAGAAATAGTTTACAAAAGCAGAAGCCAGCAACGAGGAGGTGACATGAAGTAGCCTGTTCACATTTTCAAAAGGGTGATAAGAAACATTCAAGGCTTCTGATAAAAGAATGTGTTGGCAGCACAGCAAGATGAAAGACTTGTGCTGAAAAAACCAAGATTGTATTTTGAGTTTGATAGCTTGCAATGGCTTGAGATTGCAACTCCTACTTGCTGATCCTAAGGCTAAAACTGCAAGATGTCAGAAAAAAAGAGGAATATCTTGGCTGTCATAGCTCTCACCATCTTCCTGACACTGGGCTTCACGTGCCAGGCTGGCACAGCCTCCATCTTTAACAACTGCTCTGATGCCTGCCTAAATACCTTGGATTTGAGCCTGTGGAGCCTCCCTGTGTTCCTCCACTGTTGGGGTCTGGGGTTTTGGCTTGCGTTTTCTCTTCCTGCTCATTTGGCTTCATGCTAATTTTTTTTTCTCTGGGTTCAGCACGACCTACCTTCACCACGTGTGCACGTACAAGAAGCTGGTGCCAGCTCTTTCCCCCTTATCTCTCTTAGATGCAGCAACAACAGCAGGACTGTTTTCCCAGGTCACCTGGAAGGGGAATGTTTTTTGCCAACGGGTTCAGCCAGTGCTGGCCTCTAAGACTGTCAAGCAGGAAAGGGAGCAAGGGGGAGAAAGTCATCTCTCTTAGACAATAACTCTCCAGGGAAGGGGTGTAAAAGCCTTGTCATGCTGAAGCCTGACTTAAAACTTTATATTGCAAGTAGGCTGTGGTTTGGTTTTTTTTCTCCTTTACAAATGGTTTCATTAAAAAAAAAAAAAATCAAAGTGCTATTGATGACAGAAACTCTAAACGGAGGTGCTGGTGGGTGAGAGGCTGGACATGCCCTGGCCATGTGCACTGGCAGCCTGGAAAACCAACCATGTCCTTGGCTCATCCCACACCGTGGGCAGCAGGGGAGGGGGGGATTCTGCCCCTCTGCTGTGCCCTGGTGAGACCTCACCTGGAATGCTGCATCCAGCTCTGGGGCACCAGCACGGGAAGGACATGGAGCTGTTGGAGCGAGTCCAGAGGAGGCACCAAGATGATCAGAGGGATGGAGCAGCTCTACTGTGAGGAAAGGCTGAGAGAGTCGGGATTGTTCAGCCTGGAGAAGAGAAAGCTTTGGGGTGACCCAATTGTGCCCTTCCAGTACCTGAAGGAGCTACCAGAAAGATGGAGAGAGACTATTTACAAGGGCCTGGAGTGACAGGACAAGGGGGAACGGCTTCACACCGACAGCAGGATTAGATGGGATATTGGGAAGAAATCCTTCCCTGTGAGGGCGGTGAGGCCCTGGCACAGGCTGCCCAGAGAAGCTGCGGCTGCCCCATCCCTGGCAGTGCCCAAGCCCAGGCTGGACGGCGATGCTGCCGCCCTGGCGCAGCGGAAAGCGTCCCCGCCGCGGGTGACCTGGAAGCGCTCCCCGCGCGGTTCCCGTGCGGCGCCTGCCGGGAAGGGAGGTCGCGGAGGCGGAGCCGCGATTCCCCGGCATGGCCGTGGCCGCCGTCGCCCGCCGCGGTCTGTCCGCGCTGCTGCTGGGCCGGCTCCCGGCGCTGCCGCTGCCGCCCGCGCTGCGCCCGCCGCCCGCCCGCCCCGGCCCCGCCGCCCCCCGCCCGGGGCCGCTCCGCGCCGCCCTCCGCTCCTACAGCCAGGTACGGCCCGCGGGAACGGCGGGAACCTGCCCCCGCGGGAACCCGCGTCCCTTCCGCCGCTTAACGCGGGGGGGTTTCTCGTGTCTCGGCGCCAGGTCACCGATGCTCCGTCCCAGGAAGGTCGCCTCTCAGAGCAGGAGCCCGGCTCGCCCAAGGCGGAGAGTGACGGTGTCTACCTCGTCAGGGCACAAGGATTCCCCTTCTCGTGCACCGAGGAAGATGTGCTTACCTTCTTTGATAGTATGGCTGTTCATTTTCCTGGCTGACTGTCCTCTCTGCTGCCTTTGAAACCGTGGCTCGTGATTACCTAGCAGAAAGAAAATTTAGAGATCGTTAGCCAGAGAAAGATGAGGTCTTATTATTGCTGCAAAAATATCCACAATTGGCACATATAAAGCAAGTATTCAATTTCCAACCTGCCGGACAACGACTAGAACCTCACCCTTATGACATTTTATGTTTAATCGTACAAGTCCTTCCCTTCTTAGTGTCTCCACAGCAAAGGCAATCCAATTCAAAGTGATGCCTTGACAGACCATTAGGGCTGGCTTTATTCCCTCAACTCCTCTCTTTAAGAAACTGGAGTGTGTTTTTACTGGTTGGTTTAAACTTCAGTGTTGCTTTCTAATTCATGGGCTTTTCCATACCTCTTCAGGGCTGATCCCTCCATACTGTAATACATTGCCACATCCTTCCAGAGGCCAGATCCAAGTTTTTGAATTACTTACTAACCTGCCAGACTAAATTAAGTCGGTTTGAAGTCAGGTTCAAGGTTAAGAATAGGTGTGTTCCACTCTTCGTTTTGCACTGCTGGGATGGGATCAGCTCTGTGTGGTGTAGTCAGGATAAAGAGACCCCCGTGTTTGATGTAGTTCTGTGTCTTCCTCTGTGGTCTGTTCCTTGATTTCCAGGCTGTAGAATTCGGAACGGTGAGAACGGGGTGCACTTCCTCTTAAACAGGGATGGGAGGCGCAGGGGGGACGCCTTGATCGAGCTGGAGTCCAAAGCAGACGTCCAGAGAGCCCTGGAAAAGCACCTGAGGTACATGGGCCCACGCTACGTGAAAGGTGGGTTTGGAACAGCACGAGTGACGTTGGAACAAAACTTCCAAGTGAATAAGAGCAGCTTTGTTAGCAATAATAAAGTGGGCTGGCGTGGAGAGGTGCAGGGTTGGGAACTGAGCAGCAGATCAGCCAGTAAGGCATCGTTGATCCACATTTTCCAAGGCTGGGAAGGGAAAGCAAAGGGGCAGGACCATAGAGCGTGGGGTGGGGGAAGAAACGGGATGGAGCTTTGCAGAGGGGGAAAGCTGCTGTAGGGGAATGCCCTCGGAGTGCTGCCATGAGGGAGAATGTTCCTTGCCTGTGTTCCTTGCAGTGTTTGAAGTCCACGACAGCGATGTGGAGGGCTTGATGCGGAGCCTGCGGGATGAATCCCAAGCCATGAACGATGGAGTGGTGCTGCTCCGAGGCCTTCCCTTCAGCTCCACCGAGGAGGACATTGAGGATTTCTTCGCAGGTAACTGAGCCCGCTCTGTGCTCTTCGCTGGCCAGGCATTTACTGCCTTAAGTTGATGCTTTGTTGTTCCCCAGAGGGATAAAAGCAAAGCAAGTGCAGCCTTGAGAATCTTAAACACCACAAGGAGTTGGTGTTCCTCTGGAAGTCACTCAGGCTGCAGAGTCTCCCTGTACCTCTGACTTTGTGCAGGTCTAACCCAGGATCAGTTCTTGGGGCCAGGGGAAGAAAAGGAGAGGGAGCCAGATGCTGGGATCTGGCATTGGGTTGCTACCACTTGGACATTTGGCAAAGCTGAGAAGGAGGAAGGCCTCTGTGGTAGTTACAGCCCAGGTGAATGCAGTGTGGGTGTTCACAGCTGCACAGTCAGGATAGGTGGATCATGTATGCCACTGGAGACTGTCCCATACTCACTGCTAGAGCAGTCCAGGTGGTTCCTGGCTCCCCAAGATGATGATACACAGCACAGAAATTGAAACTCACTGGGGGAAAAGCTACCATAATAATAAGAGAAAATTTCAAGAATATTTGTGCTCTGGACCTCTTTATTCCCTAGAACTTGCATTTACTTATTTCCAGTTATTTGAAGGCTCAAGTTGATTTAATTTTTTTAATTAAGCCTTCTGTGAAAACTAACTTGAAGCAAATAAATCAGAATTTAAAGAAGATACTTAGGTCAGCACGAGCAGTTGTTTCAGAACTACTTAACTGCCTGATTAGGCAGTCAAAAACCAGAAGAATAAGGAAAAAAGAAGTCTTTCTGAGCTATAGCACAAGTTCCTGCCAAGGTCAATGCCTCTTTCTCTCCTCCAATCTCTAGGTTTGAAAATAGCAGACATAGCCTTCATTTATCGGGGAGACAGAAGAACAGGAGAAGCTTTTGTGCAGTTTGCAACTCCTGAAATGGCAGCTAAAGCCCTGTTACGGCACAGAGAGTATATGGGAAATAGGTGGGTACTTCCCTGGGGTCCCAGGGGGTAGAAGAACATGTTATGGATCACCTTATTCCCTTCCTGCCGGGTGGAACAGCTCTTCTCGCACTCACAGTGTCATTAAGGAAAGCAGAGGCACCTGCAGCCCTCGTAGCCTGGGGGAATACGGGGCCTCTCAGAGAAAAGTCCCAGGTGTTTTTAGGTGTTCCAGAAGAGGTTCTCATCCCAGCAAAAAGAGCTGACAGCCTTCAGAGAGGGGAACACTGGATAGACACAGGCTGTCCAGCCCCAAGTGCACAGGAGTCCTCTGCCTCCTTCAGACATGTGACCCTCCAGATTCCCACCAGGTTCCTCCTCGCTTTAGGCAGTTTTGTCGGCCAGCCCCCTTTCCTTCATCCCTGTACCAGACAAAGAACAGGTTACCTGGCTTGAGTCCCTTCCCAACACCACACCCTCTCCCACCTCTTTGGTTACCAGATCCCCATGGGCTGCCCTCCTTCCTTGGGAAGTTAACCATTTTACTCCAGAGCACTGAGCCCTGTGCCACACACTTACCTCACCAGAGCCTCTCTCTTCTCAAACAGAAGCACAGACCGTTTTTTCCAAGCATAAAGGTGTCATTTGGGTTTGAAAAGGCCTTTAAGATCATTGTGTCCACACATTAACCACAACACTGCCCAGCCCTAAACCCTGCCCCTAAGCACCACACCTGCACAGGTTTTAAAAACCTCCAGAACTGTGCTCAGGAAAGAAAACCCAAACAATCAAAAGTGCTTTTGCCCTGCTGAGTTTTCTGACCTCAATAATCTATAAAACTCTTTTTCTGCACCCCACAAAACAAAGGATTTCTCCTTACCTCTTCTCCTGAACACCCCTGCCTTCCTGCTTTTTATAGCTTGCTTCCTTTTCCCAGAATGCATTGTGTTTGTCCCCTCCCCCTCAAAAGTAGACAGCTGCTCTGTAGGCAGAAATTAATTAATTAATTGAATTAATTAACAGACTTCCCTCCTCTCTAGTAGAGATTAATTCTGAATCTACTGTTAGCTTTTTCTTTGTCATGGTGGAACGAGAGCTGACCTGACTGACCCACCTGAGCTCACACACCTGCATTTCCATGTGATTAGCCAGGAAATGGAGGGGTTTCCAAAACTGCTTGCAGTTGCTCCTATTCATTCTTCCTGGTTTTATCCAGAACTGGCCTCCAGCGGTGCCCAGTACAGAGTGGGGGTCTGAGGGGCAGCTGAGCTGTCAGCTCTGCCAGCCTGTACACGGGGTTACTTCCCCTGCTCTGGCTTTGGGAAGGGAGGAAGGCCCTCTCCCTTTGCTGTGCATGTTCCCTTCATCACCACACTGTTCCTTCGGTGCTGTGGAAGTTGCCTGATATAACACTGCTGGTGCAATCCCATCAATTCCGTAGCCACATGGAAAATCTCAGGGCTCCACTGGAGTATGGAGCCTCTGTGACCCTGTGTGTCTTCTGGGTCTGCTCGTTCCGTGAGCTGTTTTGGGGCTGGCTGTTGTTTTTAATTTGGGGTTTGTAGGAACAATTCAGTTTGCAGAAGTGCAGCGAGGGGAAAACAGTTAAAAGAATGAATCATTCAGCACGGAATCTTCCCATGCCAGGGCTCTCACCCCAAGTAGCTGAGCAGAGCTGAGGCAGGAAGCATCCTGAAGGTGTTTTACCCAGACCCTGGGAGCCAGGTGTGCCACGTGCTCTTCCCCTTTGCGTTCCAGGTATATAGAAGTGTACGTAAGCAGAAAGCACCAGATGCAAAGGCACATGTCCGACAAGCAGTTGATGACCTACTCCAAAATGAGAAGAGAATATGAATCCCTCCCTGAAGAAGGGGGATGGAGAGGCATGAGAGGCTCCAATGCCCAGGAAGAAAACAGTGAGTCCCTCCCTGTTGTGGGTGGTTTTCAAGGTCCCTTTGTTTCACCCCACACGTCCACAGCTTTTATGGCAGGGTAACTGCCAGCACTAATGATGGTTTTTCCTTCCATTCCACAGGATTGTACAGGGGAGAAACGGAAAACTCCAGGAGCGTTTTAGAGCCTGGGAACACCTCATCACCAGCACGGCACTGTGTCCGCATGAAGGGTTTCCCTACCCAAGCTACTGCCCAAGACATAATAAATGTGAGTTACAGTGAAGCTACGGATGGAAGGTGGCTGTCATTCCCAGTGCAAACCCTCCCTTAATGGTTACAGCTGGAGCAACTGCAGGTTGTTGATTTATTTGTGTGTGTTAGCTCTCAGAGCTGTGTGGGGCTTCAGGTGGAATGTGGGGTACAGGTGCCTGGGGCAGCCGAGGCCTCTGGGGCACAACAGGGATCCTCTCCCTTCAGTGGATAAAGAAGGGATTAAGGTTTGCTGGGATGTGTTAATACCCATCACTTGGATTGCTGTTTCTTTCTCACCAGATTTTCTCTTTTCAGTTTTTTGCTCCGCTGAGGCCCACGAGGATCCTGGTGGAATACGACTCCCAGGGAGAGGCCACAGGAGAAGCGGAGGTGCATTTCCAGAGCCAGGAGGACGCCGTGGCGGCGATGGCGAAGGAGGGGTCAGAGATGGGTAAGTCAGGAAAAGGGGGTGGGTCCTACAACCGCAGGACTGAAGCCTCAGGTAGTTTGGCACAGCTTGTCCAGCTGCTGTTACATCCTGTGCAGAGGGATCACCTTAAATGTAGATTCTCAAGTTAACAGTGTGCCGTGGGCTTTGCAGAGGAAAGCAAAAAAAAAAGAAAGAAAATGTAACACACGCCAAGTGCCTCTCACATGTTTTCCAGAGTGCAGTGCCATTGAATTATTCCTGAATGAGCATCCAAAGGCAAAGGAAAACTGTTAATGACAGTGGCACGAGCTCAGATTTGGTAAGTGCATCTGTCTCTGTCCTTCTTGGTCTGTTTTTAGCAATGTGTGCCTCAGGCTGATGATCTCTGGTACTGGGATTTCAACCTGCCCAAGGGGTAAAGTGGGGGGTGGCTGAAGGGAAACACCCCCTCAACCTGAGAGCAGGTGTCCAGCCTGGACCCCCCACCCCACCTGGATGGTTCCACAAGTGCCAGTCCCACAGTGCAGGAGCAGCATTTAAAGCTCTGATGGGGTTGTATTCCCTGGCAAGGAAGAGGAAATGCGGCTAAACATTTTCCACTGATGTGGGTTAACAGTAATGGGCCTTTTGGATGGGGCAGGGTTTCATGTGACCTTGATGGAAGATGCTGGACAATGCTTTCCACTGATTCCCTTTTGAAAGTGGGAGGTGGTGGCCACTGCTCCCCAAGGCAGGGAGGGCAGCTCTCCCCCTCAGTCCCAGGTTAGTAATCCAGGCCAGGGATACGCCCTTGGGGCAAGTTCAGGATGTGCTCCCACCTGCATCCTGGGCAGCCTCCCTGGCACCTCCCTCCTGTCGTCCCATGCACTGAGGGAATTTACCACCTGCCACCCTCTGTGCATGTGCTGCAGCCCCCCAGACATGTCCCACCTGGAGTCCGTGGTACTTCACTGCTGCCAACCTGTACTATTCTAATAGAATTTAAACTGGGAATAAAATGCAGTAGGGCAGGGGGGAGAAAGAAAGCACTAAGCTGCAGCAAGAGAATGATTTTTATTTTTCCTCTTCCTTTTATCAGGCCGGGTGAACACGTTCCTTGTGTATGAGGGTGAAGATCGGGTACGAGTGTCAGCGCTGAGCAAGGAGGACAAACTGTAAGATCTAGTTTAGCCTTGTGTAAGAGGAGCATGTAATAAATGTGCTGGACTGTGGGGAGTGTTACAAAAGCAGCAGCAGCTGCACTGCTGGAATGGTCAATGGGTGGAGCAGTTCTGGGCTCCAGGTGCAGAACGGTGCATTAATAAACACCAGGATTGACAACTGACAGCAGCTGAGTGATCTGAGTCCTCACAGAGGTGCACAGTGTAGCTCTGAATCCTTTCAGACCTGCAGCCCAAGTGGAATGGGATGGAAGGACCACTCAGGACACGAGAAATGGACAATCAAGTTTTCTTTATTGTGTGGAACAAAATTAACATCAGAAAACCTGCCCCCCCCTTCCCAACCCCAGTGTCCAGGTGTCAGCCCACGCTGGCATCACACGCAGTACCTGAGCACAGAGGGAGCTGGCAGCCACCAGTGCTGTGCTCTGAAGGGGTCTCAGCCACCTCCCTGCTCCACAGAATTTAATTCTCCGTGTCCAGTTTAATGCTCCCTCTACTAGGAAAATTGCCTAGGTCTCACTTTCTCCTTGGGGGATGAGTCACACTGGGCTTGGATGCAAGAATTTTGCTGGTTTGGATCTATACAGTGTGTACAGAAAACTACTGACACTAAATTCAGTGTTTTCTCCATCCATCTCCAGTGTGTCATCCCTTCAGAGAATTCAGGAATTCACTTGAATTCCAGGCTTCTTGTATCTCAACACTGTTTACAACTCCTGTCCTACTTTAAGGGATAGCAGCAAGGAAAGGGGTTGGGAAACTGCCACAGGTGGGGAAAAGAGCAAAAAAGAGTGTAAGTTTGGTGGCTGAACACACCAAGACCTAGAGGGAACTAGGAGAAATAATTCCTGGTACAAACCAGCACCAACCACATCAGTAACCTCAGCTCTGAGAAGCTTTTCCTGCAGTTCCAGCCACTCTAAAGACTACTATTAACTAGGGTTAATTCCCCTCCAAGGAATTAACCACTAAGCCCTAATAACATCTGTACAAACCCCAATGCATTTGTCACATCAATGCATCCATTTCCTGTGGACTGTGGAACATTCTGTGGTCTGAGACTGCAGGAGGTGCCAGTGGGAAAAGGAGAGACCGCTCCTGTGACACGGGGAAGCCACCACCGCTCTTTGGAGTAACAAAATTCCTTGAGGGAACAGCAACAAAGAATGAACCATGAAACCTCTCTGAACTGGGTTTGCAGTTACAACTGGTAGAAGGTGAAAAGTGTTCCCATTTTATTTTGATACAACAAAAAGTGAAATGCCAGGTTTATGGCCACAAGGTTTCCATGTGCGCAAGGGGGAGAGGTGGATCCAAGTGGCCCTAAACCAGAGTGTGATGGGAATTTGGCCCATCTCCTAAAGCACAGAGGGGGAACAGAACATTCACAGCTTGGTTTGGGGTTTCCCTGTGCAGAGCAAGCCCTTGGCCAGAGCCCTGAGCCAAGGAAATGCAGGTAGAACATGTTCACAAGTGCCTCACTTGGCCCGCTCACACTGTGTACCAGGGTCCCAGGGATGAGCCAGACTGTCCAAGACAGCTGGGAAAGGAAACAGGATTTCAAGTGCAGCCAGACATGAGGAATACCAGTGCTCCAGCTGGTTTTCAGGGAGCCTTTGCTCAGCAGCAGCACATGCCCAACACCACACGTGTGAGGGCAAGAACATTCCCAACTTACACATGCAAACACAGCTCTGGTTTGGGCAGGGGCTCCCTGAGCCCTGAGACTGCTCCAGCACACACTGGGGCTGCTCCATGTGACATTCCCAATGCAGTTCTCCGCAACACAATTGGATTTTGGTACAGGGAAGGCTCAGAATGTTGTTTGAGTCACAAGAGACTCTAAACACCAAGAAGCTGCTTCCCTCCAACCTCCAAAGCACACAAGCAAGTGTCCTCACGTTCCCCTTGAACGACTCCAGAAACACCATCAGCTACAACCATTGTCACCCCTCTGCCACCCATTCCCTACAAGGGGCTGCTGGAATACTGCTGGATGAGCTGCTGGTGGCAGGGATTGCAGACACGCTCAGGGTTGATGCTGGATGGGAGGGGCAGCTCATGTGCTGAACAGGCTTCACAGAAGGTGCCCCCACAGTTCTTGCAGATGTTCTGGAATGCAGGAAAAGCACAGAAATCAAGGAGAGGTTCAGGACTTGGCAGATCAGCTGAGGGAAAAAACTGAGCTAAAAGGGAAGAAGCTGCTCAGGGGCAGGAAAAACAAACCACTGAACAGGGCAGAGGGGAACCCTGGAGCCACCAGTATTTAACAAGGTTATATTAAGGGCAGAGGGGCCTGCAAGGGCTCATTTCTTTGTCCAAGTCACCAGCAGGAATCTGTGATTCCAGAACAAAAACCAGAGGGAAGGCAGTCACCAGGTGTGGGCCATGTCAATACTAAGTTACCTTTCTTCTGTTCCGGCTGCTCTCCTCCTGGCAGAGCTGGCACATCTCAGCATGTCCAGGGCCCAACAGCTGCTCCTAAACACCAAGGCAAAACGAACACACAGTGAGAGAGCTCTGCAGCAACAAGGGGGGAACCAAGCATCTTAAACAAGAGCTGACAGGCAGGAATTCCCAGTGAACAGGACAACACAAGCGTTGTAACATCCCAGTGACAGTCTGGGGTCTGGCTGTGCTTTGCCAGGCACCCAGGGGGAATCAGGAATGGATTTTAGTTCATTGGATATACAGGAACAAAACCAAGAAGGGGTATCGCTCACCTGTTCTTCCTGCTTGCTGCTTGGTGACCTACAAGGGAACAACAGCGTCACTTGGAACAGGGCTTCCAGCACCACAGCTTTTAAATAAAGTATCTGGGCTACCAGGGAATGCCCTTACCTGGTTTTTAAAACCCTCCCCCCATATGGATTTTTGAGTAGCACTCCTACCTAAATGGGAAGAACAGGCAAAAAACCTGCAGAATGCCTTCAGGAGAGCCAAGGAGAGGGAGCATGAACATGGAAAAGACTGTTTAGGTGGTACCAATACAGTTTGAAACTGGCTTTAAAGTTGGGCCTGCAGATTTGATGCCTACACATGCTGTGAACAGGCAGCTAAAGCACCATGAGGCCTTGCAGGTAAATCATCAGCCTGACCCTCACCTGCTATAACATTCCAGGTGAAACAGGGCTAAAAAGCATCTTGGGCATGGATGGTTTTCAGTATCTGGCAAAGCAGACTGGAACTGAGCTTATGCTATTTTTAAGATGCTACTTTCCTGATTAGCTTCCCATCGGAACTCATTGTGCTGCACCAGAGCCCTGACATTCAGAGCACTTCCCATGGGCTGTTCCATCCTCAAGCCAAGGCCTCAGCACAGAGCTGTGCCCAGGGGCTTTGAAAACATCTTTTAACATTTAAAACCAAATACTAAAGAAACCCTACAACGAGAATCCTCTTCTCTAATACTCAGCTTGGACACAAGCAATCTGAGCCACATTTTTACATACCCATCTTCTTAAAAATCTTAAGTTTTTTCTCCAACAGCTTCTCTTTATTAGCTCTAAACACCACTGATCCTCCAACCCTTCTCCTTTCCCTCACCAAAAATACTTTGGACATGACTCCCCAAGGTCTTGCACTTGGCTTACAAAAGTTTCTTGAGTCAGAAAAATTAGTATGCAGCAGATTTCAACAGAAACCAATTCAAAGGTAAATTAGAGACAGATGGAGCCTTTCCCATCTGGAAGTGCTGATGGCAAGCAAGACAACCTCCTCCTTCCCTTTGAGAGCTATGGAAAAGCAGCTCTCAACGAAGATTGGAAATATTTCTCAGAAAGGGAAGTTGGACTATTCCAAACTCCCCATCAGCACAGTAGTCTGAGAAAGGGAACCAGGACTTCAGAAAGGAGGCAGAAATGAGGTTTGTTTCCTTCCCTACCTGTGTGGCAGAACACTGTTCTCCTCTCTCAGTGCCTGTTTCAGTTTAGCATTTTCTTCCTGGATTTTGACCTTCCCATCCTGCCAAAAGGAAACATTCACCCGTCAGGTACACTAAAGGAAGACTCCAGTTTCACTCCTGCCACATGCAAGGGGAGACTTGGCATTGCTATTTTGGGATACTGGTCTGCTCCTCCTTGGCACAGAGGAGTATCTGGGCACCAATCTCCCCTGGGAGCAGTTCTCTGTGCTTTCTTTTTGCTGTGAACAAAGAGTGGATTGCACATTTTAGAGATGGGCTCTTAAACTTCACTGGAATTATGTGTAATATTGGTGAAAAAGGACAACTGCATCACTGAAGCATCCCAGGGAGCCCAGTGAAGGCAGCTCAAGTGTGGCAATACATGACAACTGTGGAAATCATCTGTTACTGCACAGTTCACATCATTACAACTCTAACTGCCTGCTCAGTGTGTGTAAAAACCCTTACAAAGCTCCTTGGGTCGTGGCACATGAACACCACCTATTTATTGCCTGAGAAAGCTCAGGAAAAGCAAACGAGCCAAGTGAAACTGCACCTCAAACCGGAGCCAAGAGCCCAAGTCTCATTACCTGTCTTAGCCAGTTCTTTGGCCCTTTTTTGTTTTCTTGGCCACACTGCTGACTGTGGGACCATCTGTCTCTTTCCCGCCTCAGTTCCAGTTCTAGGTGGTTCCTGGAATATTGAGGTGGAATTGTGATTAAAGGATGGTTCGGGGACAGTTGGCACTGAGAGCTGATGAACTGTTTAACCCTCTCTTCACACCCCCGACTCAAGAGCTGAAAAGTGCCTCCTGGAATCCCAAGCTGTCTCGCAGTGTGTTAAACCATAACACGTCAGGATGGAAAATCTCCAAGTCCTTCATCTAATTTTGGCACAATCTGGCATCCAGTTGATGCAAAACCAGACCCATTTGCCTGTGTCCTCCTAAGCTCACCCACAGACACCCAGGACCAAAGCCACTTGCTGGTTGTCTGAGCAGCCTCTGCAGCTTTGTGAAAAAGCAAACAAAGAGCTGGGCCAGGAGGGGGAGAGGGGACAACTCCCCCTGTGTATCCAGCAATGCCCCCACAGAATTCACTCGGGTGACCTTGCAACAAGCTGCAAATGCGTCACGGCTGCAGGAGGAGATGCTCTTCTATTTTAAGGAAAGAGGATTTGTCTGTGTCCCTGACACTGCTCGAGTGATGACACTGCAGGGGAAAATGGGATGGCTCTTGACAAGGTCTCTCCGTTTGGCTTCCAGCAAAAACAAGAGCAGCTTCACCAGGGAAAAAGTACAAATCACAGCAGTGTGTGTCAGACTGACAACCAGGATCACTTCCCTTGCTCCACACCCTTCAGTGGTTGCTCTAGGCAGAGGTTTCACTGTTCCATCCCTGCCCATGATAACTGTTAGATCCCAAATTAGCACAGAATCACAGGAAGGTTTGCGTAGGAAGGGACCTTACACATCTCATTCCACCCCATGCCATGGGCAGGGACACCTTCCACTAGACCAGGTTGTTCCAAGCCGTGTCCAACCTGGCCTTGAACACTTCCAAGGATGGGGCATCCACAACTATTCCAGCAGCCTATGCCAGTGCCTAAATAATGGGCTTTTTCCAAGGATTTTCATTCCGGGGGTTACTCCTGTTGGCATCTAGCCTGTCACTTGCCTCACTCCCACTCCATCCCCTGTTTCCCTACTCTCCATTAGACACAGCAAGAACAGCCCAGGAAAGAGGTTGGAAAAGGATCTCTTCACCGCTGTCTGGAGAGCTCTTCCACTTCCAGCTGCAGGCTGTTGATTTTGTCCCCAAACTCCTGCTTGAAGAGCCGGTTGTCCTGCTGGGCCAGCTGCCGTTCCTTCTCTGCCTGTCGCAATCTGGATTTGAGCCACATGAACTTGTGATAAAAAACAAAAGCCATGGTGGGGAGGAAGACTGAGTTTAACCAACAAATAAAAAACCCAGTGAAAAGGTAAAGCCAAAAAAAAAAAAAAAAGGGAATGGTAAAAACAATGGAAAGGAGAAAGACAGTTCAAAGCAAAGCAAAATGGGAGGTGAACCAGGCAGAAACTCTCATTTTCCATAGTTTTTATTTTATCACTACAGTTTACAGCCATTAGATGAGAAACAGAAAACATCACTTTTATCCAGATCCAAAGCAAACCTCAAGTACACAGAATTTAAAGTCCAATTGGATTTTAATGTACGTTACATTTCAGCTTTGCACAGGTAACTGGAACTTGCAACATAGGTTATAGCTACTCTATTGAGAATTAGTGCAGGTTCCTGGTCTCCCACGCATTGACACTCGGCTCAAGCGCCAGGCATCGGTACAGCAACACATTCCCACTCTGGCCTGACATCAGAAACAGCCAGATCCTTAATTCTGTCTGGTTTCAGTGTTACTGACACCAACCCCACCAGCCCCAACCCCCTGTTCCTACAGCAGAACTGTGGGAAGGGGCAGGGGGGGCTCCCTGTACTAATGGGCTCTTTGGATACCTTGATCAAAGCTTCCACCTTTTCCTTAGGATTCTTTTTTCTCCAGGCAGTTAGGAGTTTGTAGTAGCAGGTTACTGAAGGGTGAGTTTATAGGTTCAAGCATGCAGCTCGGGCATGGCAGGGAGGTTTCCAACAGGGCTGTGCCAGTGCCTGTGCTGAGAGCCCACGGAATAAGCCACGTGGTGGCCCACGCTCACATCCAGGGGAACCAGGCTGAGCCCCATAGATTTTTGACCACACCAGCAAGGACCAAAGTGTTCCCTCCCCACTTGTTTCAGTCATGTTTGCCACCCGCTGCCCCAAGAAGTGCCATCCCACAGGAAAAAGGGAGAACTGGCATCACAGATTACTACAGGCGTCTCACCAGAGAAAAAAACCCTTATTCAACACTGAAAACCCCCAAATCTGATCTTCCAAACGAAAGAATATCTCTAGGAGTGCTTATAACCTAAAGCCCACAAGAGGCCAGCACGGGGACTTCTGTGATCAGAGTATATTAGTTTATAATAGTCCAAGCTACAGTTACTTCAGGTTTTGCACCGGGATGTTAAATTGGCAATTATTTCTCTTACTGCGAGCTGATTCCAAGCTTTAGCTGTTCCTCCTTTAGCAAATTCCATTTGTATTGAGCAAGGCAAACTCAGAAGGAAATGAAACAAGTGTAAAAGGCCACTCTTCCCTTTCAACTACCAACTACTCGAACAAGGAAAGGGCAAGGACCAAATTACCATCTCCATTCCCCATCGCTGCACATTGGGTTCCTTTCCTCTTTATTTGTGTGGGTTTGTTTCTTTTAAAGAAAGGTCAGATTATTTTTTGTAAAACACGTAACTTCCCTTTCTAAGAAGGGGAGACACCTCCCAAAACACCTCTCCTCAGCTTCCTTAGCTTGGGAAGGACCGCAGGGTGTGTCTGGAGGGATTCCTGGCAGAGGTAGAAGCAATGCAAAGAGAAGGAGGTTTCCACTGAACTTACCACTCTATTGTGTTACTCTAAGACACCTATAGCTACTAATTCTGGACACATGAAGTTTAAAGGAAGAAGGATAAATTCCCCACCCTCCCACCACGTCCCTAAGGCAGAATCCAGGCAAGCTGGTTACGGGAGGGCCGGTCCTCGCCGTGACGGGCCATCGCGTCCTGCCCGCTCGTCTCGGACTCGGGGCTGAACCCACAGAACAGAATTGGACAGGAAACGGCTTGGGGCACACACACAACTACTGTCAACAACTTCCAGGGATGCATTTTCTCATCTACTTCACAAAAAAGGGCAACACAGAAAACGAGTTGACTCTCCCGAGCTGGCCAACGTGATCCCGGCTGAGCCGCGCACACGCCGAGGGCTCGTGCTGCTGTACGGGGTGTGCACCAGCAGGTGGGCAGAGCCACGGATCTCCCACTCCCGGTGCCTTCCTGGGGTGTTTATTGGCCAACTCATTTGGTACTTGAACATGGGTTAAATGGCAAAGTTTGGGATTTTTATACCCGACTCTAAATCTCGGCAGAAAAACTCACTGATTTTAAAAACTCAGCAAATTCCAAATCAACTTTAGGTGACAATTAACATTTTAACAGTTGCTTTTAGCAATTCTCAAGTTCTCCCCTCATGAATGAGTTCTGATGTCAGAGCTGTGAGGTGGCCAGACATAAAAATGTCTAATGATGCTTCTGGATCAGTTTGTTTGCTGCACTATTTAAGGTTTTTGCCTGTTTCACCAAATCCTTTTCACTGTATAAATAAGTCAGAATGAGGATGATGAGAAAACGAAAAATAATAACAGCAAGAGAAGAAGAGCAAATCAATTAGCTGAGTCAGTACCATAACATATTTTCAAGTAGAGACTTTCTACAAACAGTGACCTTGTCCATCAGGAGCCATTCCCAATATAAACCCTCAAATGAGAGCACTAATGCAGTGCAATGCCCTGCTCATTAACCAGGTCCCAGCCACTCTGTTGAAAGCTGTGCCAGGCTGCCCTCTCACATCCTCCCTTCACTTTCACAGGAGTACTTTTTCCAAGCTCACATTGCTCAGGATCATCAAGAGAATAGTTCAACTGGGGGGATTTTATCCAAAACCAGAGATCTGGAACACCCAAGCCCCTCCAAGCCTGGCCTCTGCTGCAGGCTTGGCTGTCCTGCTCCCGGTGCTCTCCTCAGGCAGCTCTGTCCAGCAGAGCACTCGGACTCTCCCCTGGCCCATTCTGGGTCCCTGGGACACCCCCACTAAAGGACACAGCGTTTGATCATGGTCCAAGCCTCCTGCTTTACCTTTGTTCCAGCTGTTTGATGGTGGCAGCCATCTGATTTGTTTTCTCTTCCAAGCGGCTGTTTAATTCACTCTTCTGTTTCACTCCCATGTCTGAACTCTGGGAAAAGGAGCAGTAAATGCCAAATAAGCCCAAATAAATCATTCAGCACGTGAAACAACAGGGCAAAAGGCAAAGAGGCAGGAAAAGGTGCTCAAAAAGCAAATGGCCAGGTCAGTATTGTGAGGGCAAATGTCTTGCCACACAGGTGCAGGCTCCATCTGGACCCCACAACAGGGCAATGCCATCATCCATGAAGCCTCCTAGGTATGAATAATCCATAATGCAGTGTCTGCTAATATCATTTAATATCTTAATATCATTCAACTGTTTTGCACCAAGCCATTGGCTCAAGGAGAGAAGAAGCAACTGTTCCCTGTTCAAGTTGATTTTAGGATTTATTCTGAGCATCGTGTTGCTCTTTGCAGATGGTGTCATCACACAGTAACTACAGCTGGTACCCTCCAACTCTTGATAGTACCACAACAGAAGCTCCCACAGCTCCATTTTCACACCCCAAAACCACACAAGGTGCTTTCCCCAGTCTCATGCACACATTTCTGGATCATTAATTTTTCTCCAGAAGAAATGTCCTTTTCCTTTAACCTCCACCACACTCCAATGTTCTTGCAGCAGGACACAAGTGTGCGCAGCCTGTGACCCTTCCACACCCAGCATCCTTTCAATAGGCAGGAGTAAAAGCACAAGAGCTCTCACTTTTATCTGGAATCCCCTGTATTTCACTACCTCCCTACCTGCAGCTTGAAGGACAGTTCATGCTTTAGGGCCCTGAGATCGTCCAGCTGCTGTCTGAGTGCCACCAGCGCATCCTGCTTCTCACAAACATCCTTCTCCAGCATCTTCATGGCCAGCTCCATCTCCTGCCGCATCCCAATCTGCGCCTCCAGCTCCTTCTCCACGTCCTGGAACACAGGGAGCAGTCAGCATTTCCAGGAGGTCCCCTCAGCACCCAGGGAGAAGTACCCTTCACCGGGGCTCCTGCCCACCACCCGTACCCAGGAGCGTGCTGCACTGCCACAGCATCACAGTCACACCTCTGACAAGGAATCCACATGGAGGCCAGTATGAAAGCCAGGTGAGCAGCATGGCTGGCAGGGAGTCAGGGAATTCTACATGGGCCCACCTTCGTGGTGGAATGGACTAGGGAAAAGCTGGCAGATTTTGTTTCCTAAAAACCTTCTGCTCTGGCATGTTTCTCCCCACACACTGTATTGAACAGCTCTGAGTGGCAGGGCCTGTCTGCAGCCATTTGGGGTGACCCCTGAACCCCCCCAGTCCTCACCAGCCGCAGCTGAGTCTCCTCCTTCAGCTGTTTCCGAGCCTCAGTCAGTGCCTGCCCATCAGCAGTTCTGTCCTTGGTGACCTGAGGTAACAGACAGTTCACTTGGCATCATGTACTGCTAACCCTCACTTTTCCTCAGTATTTGCTTCTCCCCACCACTTGGAAAAACAAATGTGCAACAATTCAGGCCAAAACAGCACAACTACATCCCAGTTTTCCTGCCACCCCCTCCCTGCTGTCCCTGACACCTTGCCCAGGGAGCCATGAGCTCACTGAGGAAGCTCCCGGCTCCACACACGCTCACTGCTCCATGCCTACAGCCAGGCAGGATTCCCTGGGGACAAGGCCCATCTGTTCCCTCTGCACAGGACCCACCTGCAGCCACTCTAATCTATTGTAGGGTTTGTGTGAGATACACCAGGGAAATAAAGTGTGTTCCCAACACTGACTCCTTGGTTGAATTTGGTCTGGGCCTGCCCCAAGGCTCAGCAATCACACACATGCACATACACACACCCCAACCTTCCGACTGGACTCCAGGATGTAAGAACTTTCTTCCTTAACCCGTTCCATCTCTTCCTGCAGTGTAATGATCCTGTTGTTGGCAACTGCAAGCTGGGAACAGAACACAACACAACAGTAACCTATCAAAGACGTATTTGACTTTTTTTTTCCCTCTGTAGGGCTCAGAGAAGGGTGATTTGGCTGCAAACAGGAGGAGAAGCACACACCACCCTGAGGGACAGGACACTTGGCTCACAGCAACTCCCAGGGAAGACACCACCACAGACTAACAGATTACTGTAAGTGTACAGTCAAAGGCAAAAGTAACTTCAGAAAACTCCTTCTGACTTTGTAACTCGCAACTTAAAGGCTCAGTGACATTCCAAGGGATCAGCCATGCTATTCCGTGACAAACCCCAACAGAAATCACCCCAATCCAAGTGTGAGTCCTTGGTACAGCTCAGGCCAAACACGCATTGCTGTGACATGTGACACAGTTCATTAAGTACACCCCGGCTGGCACAGCGTGTCCCTGTGTCACCAGAACCCTCACTTTGCACACACTGGGAGACTTCGCTGAGCAGCTAAATAATCCAAACCCAAAAAATACCACAGTCACCACTCCAACTCATGTCCTGCCGTCATGAAGTGAGTGGTTTAAAGTCGCTTAAAAATCACCAGCAAGGGTGATACCATGTCACAGTGCAGGTAATAAACCAAAAGCCACTTATTTTACTCAGGTGAGACCTCCTGTCACCCATTTTGTCAGGGAACTGACCCCAAAAGATTTTACACTACATCTATGGGAGCTGCAACACCCATTTTAAACCACAGGTTGTACCTATGCCTCATGTATCAGCCATTTGTAATGCTCAGACTAAATATTTTATCTATAATGACACTCTTTTATTTCTTGCAAATTTACATAAACACATGGTTGTTTTTCCACCTCATGCCCAGTAGCAACAGCCAGTGACACTGCTTGGCAGAGTTATTCCAGTTCCATCACTAAACTCCCATCATTCAGTACACCAGAAATATGAATAAACTCCTCCCTCCCTTGTTACTACTCCCTGATTCCCAAAGGCCAAAGCATCAGATGATTTTCCATCACACTTACCTCCTCAGTCAGCTTAGTGTTGGATTTTTCCAAGGCATCCACCTTGGCTTGTAGGTTGTTTACTGTAGCACTGTTGAAGAGAAAAAGCCCTACAGTAATTCCTTCTTTTTTAAAAATCCCATTTTCTCTTTTCTTCTACAAGATAATAAAGAGCCAACAGATCGTGTCTTACCTTAAATGTCTATTGAGTTCTTCCACATAGTTCTTCTGGTCCAAAATAGCAGTTATCTGACCATCTCTGGAAAAAAAGAAACAGGGCAACCTGGAATACTTGAATACAAGTTCCCAAGAGAGGAGCAGCAGGACAACTGTGTGTGTGCACCTACCCTTCGCTGCCTTTCGTGCTGTTCCCATCTTTCAAATACATGGAGAAATCAATCACTCCAACCTAGAGAAAAAGCAATTTGCATTTTACATTGAACACTTGGTTTCTGAGACAAAACCACTGTCTCCAGTTGTGACAGTTTAGAGTTACGACATCATACCTGCTGCACTAGAGCAGTGATCCATTATACCAGTAAGCTATGCAAAATTAATGAGCTTTCCAATTTAAAGGAGCAGAACAAAACCATTAAGTGAATCCCCAGTACCTGGGAGTCCAGGTCTTCTCCCTTCATGCAGAAGTTGGCATCGATGACGTTCAAGCCCACGAGGAGGCCAGCGATGATGGCACCTTCCTCTTCCATCATCAGCGCGTTGGGCTCGTAAAATTCACTGCAGGGCAGGGGCGAGAGAGACAAGTGAGGGGGCTTTTTCCAGTCAGACAGGAATGAAGTGACAAGGTCAGAAATCAACCCAGGGCCAGGCTTTTACAGTGAGACAATGTTGTATCTCCTCTGTGCAAATATTTCACCCAATCACCTCTTTAGAACCAAAATTTGCATTAATTCTAAGGTATATTTGAGACAGAGGAGATATAACAGTGTTCTTGCTTAATACAGAAGCTAAGTGGAAGCTCTGCATTTCACAGATGTTACCCCTTCTCAAAAAAAGCACACATATACTTGACCATTTGGTGGCAAAGATGATCAAGATCCTAAAAGACAGCAGAAGTGAACCCAACCTGAGAGCAAGCCCAGCACTCACCTGAGAAGATCCTTTCTGTTAATCAAGGCCTTCATGTACTCTGAAAGTTTCTTCTGCATCAGAGCCAGGCGAAGCCAAGCTCTTCCTCTGCCTACAGGTGTCCTGCAAAGACCAGAACCAAACAGTTAGACACACCCTGCAAGGCAGAGTCACCATCAGCTCTAATAGCCCCACCCTCCCTCAGCATCTCAGACATCAGCCTCAAAACTATCTAACCTGTCATGACCTTCCTGTTAATTCCCATCCTCTGCAGTTTGATTTCATGAACAGCAAAGGCTGTTCCCATGCCTGACACATCATAACTCCTTCAGTGCTAGTAATATGGGCACTGTTGTCCATAAGCCCCCATGCTCTTAGCACAGCAAGAATATATTCTGTCCTCTCCTGCAGATCCTTGGTTAAGAATAGGTGAGCAGTGATCCATTTAAATCACAGCAGGTGGCAGATGTATTCCTGAAAGTTGTGTTTGCCCTTCCTTCCCTTCTTCAGGATCCTTCTCACAATAAAAACCATACTATGTATTCATGCAATAAAAGAGTGCACTTACTTCAGCCCTGGGAGATCCTTAACACTTGCTGTAATCTCTGCAGCCTCAGGAACAAGTTTTTCTACTAGTTCTAGAGGTCCCCAAAAGGACTTATTTTGCCCAAGAAAAGTCTTTTTGGCTAGAAAACAAAGAGACAAAAAATGAGGCTGTTAGGCCCATGCTGACATAACACATTCTCAAACAAGTGAACAAACAGTAGCCAAAAGCTGCCAGAAAGGTTCCTCTGGGGCCACTGCTGCGGGGCAGGCATTTAGTGTCATGGAATCCCAGAGTGGTTTGGGTGGGAAGGGCCCTGAAGGCACCTGGTTCCACTCCCCTCTGCTCTTCATCTTCACCTACTAGCAGGCAAGCACAGCATCTGAAGAACAGTCTGGTACTCAGCAATTTGAGCTGTGACTCTTGTACAGTTAAATACATGCTCTGCTTTAAAAGCAGCTTCAAACCATGAGCTGCGCACAGCCCAAACCCTCAGGTTTGACAGAGCTATTGAGAAAAAAGACCTCTGGGTTGCAGTTCCTCCTCCAGCAAGGGACCATGTCCCTAAAGCATGGGGAAGTGCAGAAAAGAGTCATGAGTTTGCTGAGAGCTTGTTTCACCCCTGATCACTGAGTTACACCCGAGACATCTGAGCTGTTGTGTCAAACATGGCAAGCACCTACAGCACCTCAATGTTCCACCTCCCCCAGGTTCTTTTCCCTTCCTGTGGCCTGCCAGGTCCACTAGGATCACAGCAGTGACCCTGCTTAGCCTCTCTTCATTCTCCTGCAGGTTTTTAAACCAAAACTGCTGTTTGTCCCCCCAGCCATGACCAACAGCCCCGAAGACTTCTCCCAGGCCAGTCACCTTTGAGGCCATGTTTCAGGCAGTGCTCCATCACCACGAAGAACTGCTGCAGAGGGGCATAGTCCGAGTCCAGTGTCCTGCCCAGATTCAGCGCCGACTCGATCAACCCCTTGATGCTCAGTTTGGCCATGTTCATCAGGTTCATGCGTTCGTTAGCCATGAGGTAATTGGGGTCTGTTAAAGAAGGAAGAAAAATTCTGCTGAGCAACAAAAGCTATTTTTATTATACTAAAACATCCCACCTTTCTCCTTTTGTTCCTCAGCTTTGAGGACATTTTTGGGGCCGTGACACTTTCACACGAGGCACTCTGTAGGCCTTTTGTGGAGAAAAATCAACAGCACCTAGTATTTTATGGCCAAAGCTGCTATGACACAGGAATAGACGTCGTATCACACTGAGGGTGCCTCAGTACTTCAAGTAACTACAGCAGCTCCCAATTTTCATTAGGAGAAGTTTGAAGCCTACTGTTAACCCTGTACTTTACACTATGACAATCTGTTATGGCTGTCACTTCCAGCTTACATCCTCAGCTACAAACTGGTAAGAACCCTCCACTTGTGGTTTGTTCTTCCACCTAAAGATCACCATGGACCTGCTCACACTTAATCCAGCAATGTATCTCTATCCCACCTCGCATTTCTCCCCCAACATGGCTGTAACACTTCATCTCTGTTTATAATTCCCACTAATCTCTGTTTTATCAACACCACTGGTTTTTACTTCTGACAGTAAGGAGCAGATCTTCATGGCTGCTCTGACAGCTCCTTCTAAATCCCAAAACTCACAGGACTCCCAGAACTATATTCTTCCTCTACCACATTATAAACATCCAGACCTTGACACTTCCTACACACATCCAATTTTTGTGCCCCAGTTCCCTGGCACAGGCAGTTTCATCCCTGTAAGGCCCACTTATCCAAGGCTGTTGGAAACAGCCACAGATGCTAGAAACAACCTCCACCTTCTCAAGTGAATAAACTACGCCTGGCAGCAGAAACCTAAGGGTACGGATCTAAGCATGAGGCACCTTGTCAGCACCCACCAGCCAAAAAGAGAGCCAGGAGCACACCTGACAGAGCCACACCCAAGTGCACATCACTGCAGGCTGGGAAAACTCCACAGCACAGGGAGAGTGCAGGGCAGGGGCAGCTGTGCTATCCAAACCCCAGACCACAGCCCCTTTGTTCAGGCTTTTCAAAAGCAGGTCAGGACAAGGCCTCACATCCCCCTTGCTCTCCAGGGTGAAGCAGCACCATATGTCTCCTTCCTTAAACTTGCCTGAAACCACGCCGGGAGGTACCACCCGGAGCAGCTGAAGGAGGGCAGGTGTGTGCTGGAGCAGGGAGTGCACAGACAGCACCAGGCCAGCTGGAATTGCCATCAATGGACAGCCACGAGCCCAGCTGTGCTCCAGGCCACATCTGCTGCCATGGACAAATGCCCCCTTGTTCAGAGAAATGGCAAACACGGCCAGTTATTCCACTGTCTCCTCCCAACCTCCTCCTGCCAACGAGCAAAGCCATCAAACCCCCTGAGGGTTTTAGTTTGCTATTTGTGTCCTGTCCAAGCACTGACTGTCCTGGCTCACACCTTACAAAAAGGCTGAGATTGGGCATTCACAACGTTTAGAGAGCTTCCAAGTATTCATGTAGGAATGCAATGCTCACAGCAGCACTGCACTGTGCAAAGACTGAATTCAGTGAGTGAGCTACTGTTTGAAGCTGATGAATCTGGCACACTGAGCAGACAACCTGTTCTGGATTTGCAGTCCTTTTTATGACCTGCAGTCTAGCTGACAGTCACCATCACTGGGAATTCAGAATCAGGAAGAAAGGCAGGTATAATAGTGCAAAATCAGACACAGAGCCCTCCTCCTCCTCATCCTCTCTAACCATGGTTCCTCATTGGCCAAGGTCATTGATCTGATGGGCAGCAAGTCAGGCATCCACAGTGACTCCACCTAGGAGCAAATCAATCCCTAATGTAGTATTAAGGGAGCTGTGCACAACAGCCACATGGAAAACACCCCTTTGGCTGCCATTATTAACTCATTTGCATTGAAAAATATTTGTCATATCACACTAATCAATGGTTTCCGCTTCATTGCTCTGTTGTGAGCAATTGTGTTCTGCATATGCAGCTTATCCAAGATTCTCACCTTGCAAACCAATTAACTTACAGTATGAAAACCCTCTACCTGGGTTATCCTACACACTCTGTGTCATAAAGCTCAAAAAGTAAAACCTCAGCCATTGAACTTTGCCTTTCCACAGGGTTTGGGTTTCAAAGGAAGGAATTTAACTCTCAAGACACTTTGCTACTTAAATATTGCAGCTCGTACAGAACAGACATGTTTTCTACCCAGTTGCTTCCTGAAGATGTCTCCAAAAGCACCAAAAAATCCTGTAATTTGTTTGAAAGGTCCAATCTGTACCCAAGAACCTCAAAGTCAAGGCAAAAGTCAATGCAATACAGGACCTCAAAGGGTTAAGCTGTGACTCTGGTCTCAGTATTTCTGCTGGTGACAATAGATTTTATCACTCCTCAATGACTTACTCTAAACCAATGAAGAATAAACTAAAATAAAGCTGTAACTTTGATCAAAGGCAGGGAGTGATGAAACACTGGAGAAGTGAACAAACCTGCTGAAAACAATGCAAATTCATTTGCATTTCAGCAAGGTTCTCCAGGTACTGAATCCATCTTACAGCAAAAACACCAACTGAAAGCAGCCTGACATTTGGCAAGGCTGCTTCTGTATGACAGGGAAACTTATCCCACCTGACAAAATAAACACAAAAATCAGCACAATGTTTTATGAAAAAAAACGAAGTCTCAAATCTTTCCCTTAAAGCCTGCCTTGGAGACACCCTTGGCTGGGAAGCAGAAGGGGCTGTTGTGCCAGGAGAGGAGAACATTCCCAGTGGCTGAGAAGCTGCTCTGCCTGTGAGGCTGCCAGGTAGAGCCCAGGCACAGAACCAGCACAGCAGCTAAAGGCACCATCCACGGAGGGTGACAGCAAGGGATCAGTGCACTCAGTGCATCAGAACATCAGCCTTTTGTGCTGCAAACACTTGAACCCCAAGCAGCAGCAGCAGTATTTCACCTAATTAGCAATTTGCCTGACTACACCCTAAATTGGGGATTCAATTATTTCACATTCACACCATTTTTAGGAATCAAGCAAGAAACACCGTAAATAAATTTCCCTTTTAGTACTGCACGAGTTTTAATGGACATTTTGCATTACAAGTTCTAGAGTCACTTTTGTCAAGCCTCGAGTAGGTAAATATAAATCCTTGAGAAAATCTGAATCCTCAGGGTTATTTCTGAATTTTTTTTTTTAATTCAGCTTCCATATATTGCTGCAATCTTTTAAGCTGTGTTTCTGTCAGGCTCAGGAAAACATTGCCTCTGAATGCATTTAGTAGAAGGCAACTAGCCTTTGTTGATTCACTTTTTCTACCTCCCCTTCAAGTACAAATAGTAAAACAACCAACTTTGAAACATTTATTTTAAGCAACACAGAGAAAAGGCCAGAAAGGCACAGCTATTGGCTCTGGAAAGGAAAAGTGCATTTTGCACTCAGGCTCAGAGTGACAGGGCAGAAGGCAATGATGGGCACAGACAAGAGGGGTGAGATGTGTGGAACGCACCTTCGGAATCATCGCGCAATTGCTCCACCACATCTGTCAAATCCTCCCAAGAGTCTTTGCAAACAGCAAAAGGAAAGGAAAAGAAAGAAAAATGTCATGCAAGCCGTGATCTAAAGGAAAGATTCAAAATCAAGGTACAAGCAAAAGGGTAACTGAAAGGGAGATTTGCATCATACAAGGCTTAATTCAGAGGGGCAAGAGATCTGCAAGTCAAAAGGGTTTATTAGTCTGCACAAAGCAACAGAGCAAAGCATTTCCCTCCCAGATCAGGGTAGGCTTCAGTAAAGCTGCAGAAGCTTTGTTTCTGCATTAATACAAGCAACCTTTTTGTAAAGCACATCCTAAAAGGAAAAGCAACAGAAGCATTATTTTATTTGTAAGATAAAAGCACTGAACTTGAGATATTTAAGCAATGTCAGCATTTGCTTCCATTTCCTCATACCCAGCGCCCAAGAGGGAAACAGGCACACGTGGGAAGCAGGCACAGGCACATTCAGGGAAAGGACACACTGAGGGTGCTTTAAAGAAGGTTAAACAGAGCTTTAACTCCGTTATGACCACCATCCCAAGTGACAAATCCCTCAGAGGAGACCCAGCTGAGCCTGATGTGGGTCACAGGCTTTCTGTTGTCACCGTGATGATGATTCCCCAAGTTTTCCATCAGGGAAGCACCTCTCTCCTTGGCAGAAGGAGGGAGGTATCCTGGCAGAGGAGCAGGCAGGACAAGGAAAACTGGTTTTAGCACACCCACAGAGTCCCTGGTTTCCAACCCAGAAAGCCAAGCCGGACAAAGCCCCGGAGGGTCTGACCCTTGAGCATTTTCCACTCCCCACTTACACGCCTGCTCTCCCCAGCACTAATCCGTGATCCGAGGAAGGTCCGAAGCACAGGAAAGGCTCTATCCCGCTTCCCAAGCCACCTGTGCTAAAGTCCTGGGCAAAGTACACCCGGTGCTGGGCCCTCCTCCCTCCCACACAGCCACTGCCAGCCTCCTGCCACAGGAGCAGCAAACAGCTCATCCACCGGCACTGCAGCTAAACAAACAGCAGCAGCCAAATCCCAGGACAGCTAACAAAGGACTGGGCCCCAAAAGCTCCCTGTGCTCCAACGCCACTGCCCAACAGTCCTCTCATCCTTGGAGACTGCTGTATTCACAGGGCTGAATTTTAACCATCCGTTTTCCTCACAAACCAGGGACCTTAACAAACATTCCCCTATGGCTAAGCACTGCTGCAAGAGCAACACGGAGTTTCACGACAGGAATCCCCTGTTGTTGCAAGAACAAATCCCTGGTGATGCTCTTCCTGCCACCAGCCCCCCCATGTCCTACATCTATGGCTTTTGGTCTTTCATGACAGGTGTTCCAGGTCCCTGAGGGTCCACTGAACCTCTCAGTGGTGGACTGACCTGTCTCCAATGCTTTCCAATGCTTTCCAGGACCCCACTGCACAAATAGGATTCCGTGACTCGGATCCAGATGCTGGTCATCCCAGAATCCCTACCTGCACACAGTGAGTGAAGCCAGACACCATCACCGAAAGGTCTTCTCTAATATCAAGACTTTGAGGTTTTTTGTTAATCTAAACAATAAACAGTGAAGAACAGGTAACCAAAACCAGATTTACCAGTAGCTGGGTAGAGGAACAGAGAGAATTGCCAGGCTTCACTCCGTCTCTCATGTGACCCCTCTCATATATGTTTTAACTCTTAGCAAGTGATCTTTATAAAGGCTCCCAGGCAGGTGTCCAGGGGAGACACAGATATTTTCTTCTCTTCTGTCCTTACAAACAATAACCCTATGTTCCTTCAAGCAAAAACTGCATGAATTTAACCTGGCACTACAGAATTTGCATCAGTTTAGAGGCAAAAGCACACATTTAATTAGCACTTTCATTTTTATTCATTTTTTCATGCACCCAGCTGCACTTTGCATACAGTTAATTTCTTCTCTTACATTGTACAGTTTTTCCCCACTTGTCTGGAAATTCCACCAACAGTGGGGGGAAAATCCTTCACGCAAACAAATAAAAAAAAAATCACAAAGGCCTGAAACTTACTTGTTTCATAGCCCTTGTGGTACCTAAGACAAATTCAATATTTTGGATTATGATGGAAAACATCCAAGTCTGTACCAAGTTTAGAAAACAGGATGACCAAGACCTTTAAGTCTTCATAAAACAATTAAGTCCTTCCAACCAGATTCCCAGGAAGATTAGTATTATGGAACTGGACATAAGTCCTTACAAAGGAACTGGAGTACTTATTATCACTAATATATTACTCAGGAAAATCCCATCCATTATTTGGACAAAGGGTTTTGCAGTCCCTCCCTTCACTGACACAGGGGCAGTGTCTCCACTGGTTTGGTTCAAGGGGCAGGGATACACTTTCCCATGCCAATAAAAGCTTTTACAAGTAAACCCTGTGAGAATGGACCAGCATCAAAATTATTTCAACACTGATATCAAACAGAGTGCTGAATTTTTGCACTTTTTTAAAGGTTGAAGATATTAGTATAAAACAGTTCAGCATTAAAACCTTGCTGAACCAATGAATATTATCAGCCTCAAACACCACGTGTTGATACGACAATCGAGATCTTCCACAGATGAAATGGAATCACAGAATCAGAATGCTTTAGGCTGGAAGGGACTTTAAAGTCCATCTCATTGTACCTTCCACTATCCCAGGTTGCTCCAAGCCCCGTCCAACCTGGCCTTGGACGCTCCTAGGGATGGGGCAGCCACAGCTTCTCTGGGCAACCTGTGCCAGGGCCTCACCACCTCACAGGGAAGCACTTCTTCCTTCAGGAAGAATAGGCCAGGAGTTTTTACATAGGTCAGGATCTTTTAAAAGTATTTTTAAGTACAGAAGTTTTTAACTCATTCCTAAGGAGAAGTTGAGTAGTCAGTAAAATAACCTAAAAAAAACCCCAAAGCATCGGGTTTGGGAAGTGAAACCTGAGCTTGATATAGAAATTACTGACCAAGGGTGCCATGTTAGCTCTGCTGAGAAAGGCTTGGCCCACATCTGCTCCAGCACACTCCCTGAACTGTAGGGACAAATACTGCTCTATCATAAAACGAACCTCTAGTCACACTGCTATATTTAAATTGCATTCTCTGGTATTTGTTGCCTTAGGAATACATTTAATAGCAAATAAAGAGATTGAGGAAGAAAATTAAGTAGATGCTGTTAATATTATTGGAGGTACTTAAATGAATTCTTTCAGATCAGGTTTGCAAAGGAGGTGGATCATCAGGTGTTGACAAAGGAAAAGGATCAGCACAGGGTTCCAGCATCATGTTCAAACACCTGCAATCCAAAAATCAGGGAAGTCACCAGGCAGCCCGCAACATGGAATGCCAGGAACAATCTATTCAGGTAAAGTAGCTTAATATTTTTTTTTCAAACCCACTGCATAAAAATCCCATCTCAAAATACGCATGTATATGGAGAACCTTGCATATAGAAGAAAATAGCAGTTGATCTGCAACAATCCAAGAGAAAACATAAAGGAAGAAATCAAGAAGTACAAAGGACTTGGAAATTCCAAGTCCACTCTCCATAACATGTATGGGACAAGTAAATACCAAACATACATCCCAGGCATTAATGGTGTAATCCCACCCTAAATTTTATTCCCGTCTCCACATGATTTCCATCAAATAATTACCCAATTTCTCTGTGTTGCAACTGTGTGGAGTTATATGGAATGTTTCTCCACAACCAGCCTCTTTCCAGAGGGAAACACATGACCAAGTGCTATGGGAAATTTCTCATCCTATTTTGGCCCCTGATAGTTTGCACAAAGAAAACTAAAACCCAAACCCTTGAGGTTTTCCCCCCCATCTTTCACTTCCCAGCTCAGCTGACACTCAAGAAGTTTCTCTGCCATCCTTTTGACTATCTCCTAGGGATACAAACCTGTCCCAGGTTTCCCAGATCTGACTTCATTTAGACTGAATCAGCTCAAAAGAGCAAAGAAAACAACTCTCAAAAGTAATTTCTGAATTGATGTCTGGGTTACATGACCTAAGTGCTATTCCAGAGATTTGTGACCATGAACACACTGTAATTCATTTAACTTGCATTTACTGTTCAGATTTGTTTTATAATGGGAAAGGCCCAATCCATGGAGCAATTTCACCTCTCCCAACACTTTACTGTTCCTATTCCACACTACTAGAGAAACCCTAAACCAAAGTAACAGCTGCCAGTTTGCAAAACAAAAATATAATGAATAAGGTCGTGATGCTTCCCTAAATCCTTCTGAACTGTGCAAAGAAACATGGAAAAACACTTGGAGAGAAAATGGAGAGAAAAAGTGGAATCTGAATGATGATTCAATAACCAGTGCAAGAGATTAATGGGCATGAGGTGTTGAGAAGAGCATTTGCTTTTCCTGAAGCAACTCCTGCTTGGGGCATTTTACACAACCATGTCTGTTTAACTGAAACTTTTAGATTAGTGGTCAAAAAAATACAAAAATCTGACCTTATCTCTACCTTATAAAAGAGATAATTTCATCTTTGCATATTATAAACACATCATTCCAATTCTCCATTGTAGTGCAAAGAGAGGATTAATAAAAGAGGGATACTGTAATCCTTGACAGTTCCAAATAAATTCAGATCATCCCATTAGCACATGTATTCCTTACGGTCTCAATTACAAGGTGATCCTATGAGGATAATTTCCACAGCTCTAATGCAAAGGTCCTCACGATTATTCCAATTAGAAATTTAATGTGCAGTTAAATCATGCAAGGCCATTTGGTGTAACTTCTCCTCAAGTTGAGAGCAGTGTTCAATGCCATCCATACACACACACACACTCTTCAACATCCAACAGAAATATGATGGGGGTGTTTTTCACCTCCCTCTCTAAAAGTGCTTTAAAGGCCATACATTGCAAATAAACAAGGTTAACAGCCACCAGTGTTGCATTTCATTTTGAGGTGCCTGCAGAGCACAGGAGAGTTCTGATTATCTTATTAGGAATCATCTTTTTTTTTTTAAAATAAATTCTTCTCCTAAGCCCAGCAGATCTGCAGCAAACACCAAAATCAGCTTATTCTCATGCTCACCCAGAACTGTTCCTAACAGTTGAAAGAACAAATGAATCACTTTTATTGCTGAATTAATCACCCATATTACAGACTACATGGAATATATAAAGTTGCAAGTGACTTAGTAACTACACTGATGATTTACCCTTCTGCTACAGGCTGCTTTTAAATGGATCACAAGTTTTGCTCAGAGTTACTCTCCAGCTCCAGCTGGGTGGCAGGAAGGGAATTGCTCTGAAGGCAGGATGGCTGGTGAGGGCTGGGGGCACAGCAGATCACAGAGTGAAGAGAGGCCAGGGACAAGAGCTGATGGAGAGCAATGGGAGGCTTCAAATCCTCATTTCAACAAGCTGTTGGATCTCCTACTTACTGCAGTATATATTTTACATGTCTTTATTTGTAAGGCAAAAAACCTGCCACCCTTTCTTATGCCTTGGGCAGAAGTCTACAGCTTTTTTTTCCTTATTTGTAATGTCTACTTTTTCATATCGTGCCTACTTTTCATATTATGGGGACATGACAAGAGACACAAGCCCATGATCCTGTCCCCTGGCCCCGTGCTCACCCCGAGGACAGAGCAGCAGTGCTGATGCAGTAGCACCAGATCCAATGCCTGGGATACAGCTGTGTCAGCTCTTCTATTGTCAACACTCTCCCTGACCTTCTATCTCTGTTCAAAATATGACTTGGGTCCAAAAACACCGCCCCAAACAACCAGTCTTTCGTGCCTCTCAGCAAACAACCTTAATTTATGCATGAACATCTCCATGGAGGTCTTTATGGTACAGCTCCCTCCTTGAATTCTTTTTTGACGCTTTAATTAAATAATACGGCAATGAAATGAGCGAATACTGTTTTCTAGCCCTGTTTGCTACTCTGAGTGACTAATTACAGCTTTAAAAACTCCTGAGTAAGAGCAAGCGAGGTCTTTATGTCACACTCAGGTACTCAGGAATTGGAAGAGCTGAATTCCAGCTCTCCCTGTACTCACCTCCCTGAGCCCCTGGGATATGCTTGAGAGGGAGCCTTAAGTCTCTGCTTTTCAAACCTCTGTCTGGTATCCCACTGTGTGACTAAGTACTTGGCAAGCCAAATCCAAACCCAAGGGCTGCTGCCACTGAAAGCAGCTGTCAAATGGAAATTAAATTGTCCCTTGGGAATTTAATTTAAATCCCCACCACAATTTCAGTTGTCTCATCCAGCAAGACGATATAAGACTTTGCTGACTTGACAAGCCAGCAGCAAACAGGTCAAGCAAGGCTGTTTGGTGGAGTGGCTTTTCAGGAGCTACTGGAAAAGGGTCAGGCATGAAAAGCTGGAGCCTCCTTGCTTTAAGACCAAAAGGTGCATCCAGCAAGGGCACTGGGAACAGTGCTTGTGGCTACTGGGCAAAATTACTGCACAAATTCATCACCTCTCCTTCTTGCCCACTTGACTGGCAGAGCACTGCGTGGATGTCCTCTCGTGTTTTCAGTTCTCCGAGAGCTTTTAATCCTCATCCTGGCATTAAACTGTTTCTACCACCAACCCAGATCACCAGGAGAAAGCAAGATGTGCTTCACCTCCCCACTTCAGCCTTCCCAGCCATTCCGAAGAGCAGCACGCTCAGCAGGGGCCAGCTGGGGGACGTGTGATGGCATTGTCACCTGACAAGGGGCATCGCTGCGTAATCGCTTGGAGCTTTCCAAAAACTCCCCCCGACCGCCGCTGGGGTGCTGCCAGCGTGCTCCCTTTGTACGAGCTGGCAGCTCACTGACGGAGCTATCGGCCCCGTTCTGAGCGCAAAATCACCATCGAATGCTCTCACTGAGCACACAGCGCGGTTTTCCTCCTTCCTGCGATACACGAACCTGATACAACTAAAAAGATAAGGATTAAGCACAAATCTCTCAAAGGGTTGGGTTTCAAAAAAACCCGATAAATGCTAAGGACCATCTGAAGCAGTAATTTGGCTTTCTAACGTGGCAAAGGATGTCTGGGCTCTGCAGGCAGGACAAGATCATCTCTTCCCGGAGACATCCCCTCCCAACTCGTGCCGCGGCTGGAACAATGCGACGGCCGCAGAGATCCCGGGCAGGAACCGGACCGTACCTTCGTGGGTAGGCTCTGGGTCGGGTGTCAGCGAGATGTCATCCAGCTCCCGCAAGCAGAGCCATTCTCCATCCATCGACACTCGGAATTTGCAAAGATAGATGGTCTCCATGGCAGCCTGAGTGATCTTGTCTGTGGTGGGGGTTGGCATGTCGCTTTGAGGCGTCAGAGCAGACATGATGACTCAGCTGGTACAACAACAACGGGGGAAAAATAAGAACTAAAAATAAAAGCTTTCTGAAGAAGGAAATCAGAAATACCTTGCGATTAAAGGACAGATTGCTCAGGATCACAGAGGCTGCTCTGGCCTTTTCATGGATCAAGCAAGGTAAAAACGCTGCTCCTTCCCGCTCTGCTCTGCCTCCCTCCTTTCCACCGACTGCCGTCTCCAGCTATGCTAGAGGCTATCGATCCTCAGCATCCACAGGAAACCTGGCTCCGGCATCCAAGGCAGGAGGGAAAAACAGGTCCAAAATACGAAAAGAAGGGGAAAAAAGCAGCCGAAGCAAAAAGAATGGGTTCCTCTGGTGATGACCCCGGCAAAAACAAAGGACGAACGGGAGGCAGATCTCCAGGTTTGCCGAAATCCAAGTGCTGGTGCCCGTCTCTCTGCGAAGCCCGGCAGTGCTGCCGGGATTGGCTGTGCGCAGTGAGCAGGGTGGTGACCAAAATGGCTGACTAATGAACTGAGCTGGGAATCCAGGCTCATGTGATCGCCTGCAATTCCCAGGATGCTGCCGAGGCGCCGCGGATGCAGGGACGGCGATGGGGCGCTCATCACACACGGTACCCCCTCTGCGGGCTGCGCTCGTCGAGCCGGCAGCGAGCAGAACGCCCCCCGGGACTACAGAGGGCCAGCGCCAGCGGTACTAAGGCACATTTGTATTCCTTACACATCCCGGGATGCCACTACAGGAATTCAATCGGCACCTTTGTTTTCACGGAAGGTGTGCGAGTCGCAGTTTGGGCTTTATTCGCCGTGCCACCTGCCCAAAGGGCACCTTGGAGCTCAGATTCCCCACGTGCAAAAAAGTGTTAGGATGCATTTATCATCATTTCGAGGAAACAATGAGGAAAATCGTCTGGCTCTAAGCAGTTCAGTGACTGAGGAGGAAGCTCTTTCAGCAGGGCACATGCATATGGAAGAACAATGAGGGAGAACACCACGAACACAGCTGTGTGACCCAATCTTACCCTTTAAAAACCTCACCTGAGAATTGGTGCTGCTCAGGTGAGGCTGATGAAGCGATATTACCTCTCAGGAGACAAAGAAACATGCTTTCAACCTCTCAAGAATAATATGACAGTGCTGCATTCCCTGGTCCCTTCTCAGTTGTCTGAACCTCCTCTGTATCCCCATCCCACACTGCCCTGATTTCAGAGGACAAGTGCTCCCAGGTCACCAGACAGGCTTCTCATTCCTACACTGAGGTCACTATTGCTTCACCACCCACTTCAACTACCTTATCAAGCCCCAATACATTCCCTTATCTGACTTCATTCCTTAGTGGCTCCAGTATATCTGAGGAGAGCAGATGCACAGCATCCACCCGAAATGGATGGGCAGTCAGCCTTGGAGCAGGCTGTCACCAGAACTGTATATTGGTGAGAACACATGACTGATATACAGGATGTGCATCTGTTTCCTAGGGATGTGAAACACCAGAACAGGTCACTGGATGCACAGTTCAGCACAGCAATGTATGCAGCTTTTGGAAAAAGCACCCACTATGTAAAACCCTCATAAGACTGGAAAAAAGGGTGAAGAGCTGCTATTTCTGACAGACAAGAGGAAGCAGTTGCTTTCTGTGAATGCTTCCTGCCTGGTGCAGCACATTTTGACTCAGCATCTTTTTCCCCATTGGGCCAAACCCAAGCAGGCATCACAGAGCCTGTTTTTACAGCCATGCCAAGGGGAATTATTTCACCACTGAGTTACTATTGTTCCTTCTCCCCAAGAGAACAGAGTTTACAAACTGTGCTGAATGTCTTCACTCACGATTTACACACCCCTTCATCAGTGAGAGCCTCATTCACATTGCACCACTCCCAACTTTAAACCCAGACAAAGTGGCCATGCACCACCAGCTACAGAACAGCTGCTCGCCCTGGCTAACCTTTGGAAAGGGTCTACACAAGCGGCACAGGGGCAAAATAAACCCTTTAGAACACACAAAGCACAGAAGCTATTGCTCAAGCTATTATCCAACAGAGCTCATTATCAGACAGTTTAATTTCTTTGCTTTGAAGACATTAAAAACACAAACAGCATTGGGTGTAACCCTGCAGCTCCCATTTCACAATCCCAGTCTTCAGCTGAACGAACTCAGCTGGTAAGTGACCCCCACACCAGGATGACAGGGCAGGTCTGCTAAAAAAAAAAATCAGTAACTGTTCAACTTTCACTGGTTTGCTTTTAACATGAAGAAATAACGGAAGCCAGTCTGTCCCTTCCAGCTCAGTTCTATTTTCAGGCTCCTTTAGGCAATGATCCTGCTGCAAATACTCCATAGGGATATTTAAAGTACTTGGAAAATGTTTTTCATCTTTGATTATTAAACAAACACACACACACAAAAAAAAAAAACAAAACAAAGAGGAACTGACTTATTGACTTGTGACCTTTTTATCATCACCCACAAGAGAAACCTTTCCCTATCCCCCATCCTGTGTCTCAAAATTATAGACCAACAGCACCTTTAAGAAACAGAATAAAGGTATCAAATATTTGTGTTTTCATAAAGCCTTTCATAAAACTACCAGGCAACTCAAGGGTGCCTGATAAGGCTCCATCAGGGTTCAAGGATGGCCAATGGACAGAAATAATGCAGGGATAAATGCAGAGGAGAAGTTTTTCAGGATGAATCACTTTCTCCAACTCAAACCAGTCAGACAGCCTTGACTGGTCCTACGACCCCTCCTGTGAGCCACACTTTGGCACAAGCTCTTAGAGGCTTTGGCCAGATTGCAAAACAAGGCAGGTTTTTGCCAAAATGTTTATAAGATTAAGGAATTACCAACTGACTGCCTTGGAATTTTAAGACTAACCACCTGAAAGCAAAGCACTTGGTCAGCCACCAGTATTTGAGAGCTCAACTGTACTGGCAAGTATTCACAAGTTGAATAAATTAGAATAATCTAAGCAAAGAAACCCAAACTAATTCCCAAACCACCTTTTGGACTCCAGGGAGCATCTCCGAGTGTACTTTTACTACCAGAGCCTGCAAGCAAGCTGAGTTTCCATCATTAGGAGAAAGCTTTACCTCCCTCAGTGTGTAGAGATCGTAAAGCAGAAAGGACAAAGCCACCTCTGACACGGAATGTAATCTAATAAAATAAAATAAGCAACACAGCATCTACATTGCAAAGCCTGTTTCTGGCTCCTCTGCCACACAGATATGCACGTTACTTCAAATACCAGCTACTTTGAACCCTGCAACCTCAAACAGCAGTGGGGAAAACAAAGTTTAACAACCAAAACCACAGTGACACAATTTCTTAATTAATTACTAAGTGACGAAGTGGGTTTTGTTTACCTACTGTGAAATAGAGAGATACTATTTAAGCATTCGAGTAACTCCCATAACTGAGGGTACAACTCAAAAATGGGAAGAAAAGGTCTACTTAAAGTATCATGGTATTGTGTAGGCTTTCAGTGGGAGAAAGGAATGGTTTTGACTTGGTTTTAGGTCTGGGGTTTTTTTTAGACAGCCTAATCAATTTGCTTTTACTGTATTTAAGAAGTATTTTAAGGTTTTACTGCAGCTCAGCACGTTTAAGTAAATCTTCTTGCTCCTTCTGTCTGTCTGAAACCACCTGTAACAAACAAGCAGGTGCTGCTGGCTTGATAAGCTTTTGCCCTCTCCTTCCCTAAGCAGCTGTGGCCTTCACCTGATGATTGGAATCAGGTGAGAATCAGAGAGAACAGTTTAATGATTGCGTTTTAACAGGAAAAAAAAATACTTGAAATACACCTCCAAAATACTGTGAAATATTGGCTTTTTGGTGTATTGGCCACTACCTCACTGTAACACATAAGACTTTGCAGCAGCACCCACTGCTCCTGCTGCTCCTCTGTGATGAGCAAATGAAAGCTGCTTTAGAGATGGGAGAACTGGGAAAAACCAAAACAAGAAAAAACAAGAGATGATGAAAACAAGATTTAAAGACAGAGTTGGCCCCAGGAGAAACAGAGCTCAACACACCAAATAGATGATGATCCCTGTTCCCCTCGGACACTGCAATCACAGCATCACAACCACAGAGTATTCCCAGCTGGAAGGGACCCACATCAGCCAGTCCCTGAGCAGACCGTGACACACAACATTGCACAGGCAGCTGTCACCTCCACGGCTCAAAAGAACAAAGAAACTTCAATATGCATTTTATAAAGGTTTTTCACAAAGCTTGCACCAACAGGCACCACAGAGTAAGGCTGACACAGGATAAAGCACTGCTCAACCACTGAGCCTCTCCACTCCTTGTGAGCAAACGCTCAGTGATGCTCTGGTTTCTCCACATCTACACAACAGCCTTCTTACAACCAAGTTTGACCAGCTCTGAATATTGTTCTTCAAGTCTTCTTTTCCATCAGAAATAGCTCAAGCATGCACATCACAGGGTTTACTGGGGATAAAGATCTCCTGCTTAGGAAAAAATTACAAGGAAAAAAAGAAGGCTTTGACAGGGAGCTGTCAGTTCCAACAACAATTTACCACAGAGGGACTTCGGACTGTGAACGAAAGTTGGCACTCACAGACAGTCCTTCACAGAGCTCAGAGCAAAGTCAGGGCATTCCATCTCCTCTTGGCATTACAGGCATGGACTTCTTACCTCAGTGGTTACAGCTCTGCTGAGTAATGCCTTTCAGTACTTCAGCTTCCCAAGGAGAAACAAACAAATACCTACTCCAAAAATATCAGCTCCTGTGTGAGTGAACGCTTACCTGGGACAGGAGGTGGCAAAGCAAAGGCCAAAAGCTCAGTCACACACACTCTGGCCCCAGCCCAAAGGATGAAGCCGCTGGCTATTTTCAGAAAGGATGAAAAAGGGAAGATGGAAGATCTCTTCTACATGAACTCAGAAGTGTAGTTTTAATTCTATTTTAAAGCACACCCAACTACTACACAGTTCTCCAGCTTACCCAAATACACCGCAAGAATATCACAAAGAATCTTACAAAGCAGAAAACTATTTGCCACCCAACACACCCCACACAGCGATGCACTTCAGCCTTCTCACATCTCCAGGGTGCTGAGCCTTTGACTCGGATTTGTTCTCCCTGCCAGCACCAGGAGGGAGCCCGAGCGGGGGTTCCCCAGCCCCTAACTCCATCCCAAGTCCAGGACAGCCTGTTTGATCTCAGAGGCCGGCACGAATTCTCGCAAAGGGCGCAGGAAGGACTCTCAGGAGGGCTGGTTCTGCTGACCTGCTGGGCCAGCACGGCTCACACACACACAAACCGCCTCCTTCCCAGCTCTCACTGTCCCTTCTCCGGGCCAGTCCACGCCCGCTGCCCTTCCCTGCCGCCGGGGAGCAGCCAGGCCCCCCCAAACCCTGCGGCTCCCTGCGGGGCAGGGGCACCTTTCGGGCGGACACTTCGATCGCCGCGGGAGCCGCGCCCTTCGCCGCCCGGAGCGCTCCGGGCAGGAGCATCCTCGGGAGCGGCGCTCAGGGACCCCCCGCCCGCCGCCCACTGCCGGCCGCGCCCCGCGGGAGCCCCCGGCGCGGGGGAGCCCCGCCGTACTCACGGGCTCCGTCCGGCCCCGGGTAGCTCAGCACCAGCACGGGCAGCCCGGCCCCGCCGCGGGGCGCCGGGGGTCTCCAGAGCGCGGGCGGCGCGGCCGCGGCGCCGCCTCCATGGCCGGGGTACAGCAGGAAGAACGGCGGCGAGGAAGGGCGCGCCTCCTCCTCCTCCTCCTCCGCTGCTGCCGCCGCCGCCTCCCCGGGCTCGGCCCGCCGCTCCATGCCCGCGGGCAGCTCCGCTCCGGCCCCGTCCCGGCAACTTTCGGCCGGCGGCGGCAGCGCTGCCCGCTCCGCCTCCGCCATCGCCGCCCGCTCCCGCCCCGCCCCGGCCGGGAAGCGGCGCCGCGGCCGCCCCATCCTCCGCCCCCGGGGCCGGGGATGTGCTCCGGGAGCGGCTCTGCCCGGCGCGGGGGGAGCGCGGGGTGACACAGACACCGACAGCGAGATCCCGAGGGGCTCTTACCCGAGAAGCGAAGCCATTGCACCGTGTGCTGCCTCCCCCCGGCACGGACAGCGGCGTTCTCTGATCCTGGGACAAAAGGCGACAATACAAAGTCCAAGTGTATTGCTTAACGTTAAAACTGTCAAATAGATTGTCTTTCAGAAGACAGGGATAAACACAGGGCACTTAATGCGGAGGGTAGTGTTGTCAGCAGGCAGGCAGCACATAAATCTGCCAGTTTTAAAGAAGACCTTCGGTGCACTCAGGTTAAGCTGAAACACGCGCTGCTTTCTTTTCCAATCTCACATTAAAACTAAAAAAGCAAAGCTGTAAAGGCAACTGATTTCTGGAGGCTGATTTTCCAGCGCTGCCCCAAGTCATGCAACATGCTGCAACTAATTCAACAGATTCTTTAATCCATTTTACCAATCTCACAGCTGAAGGTTTGAATTTCTACTTGCTAATGAGAGTAAAGCAGTGTCTGATGGGGTATTATGGAACACAACTAGGAAAGCATTAACAAAACCTAAGGCAGCAGCAGGTATATTTCCACGTGAGATAGTCAATATATTTTCCTCACCCTGTATAAATAGAAATTCCAGGCTGTGATACAGAAAGCATTGTCCCCCCTCTGCCATTGTGCTCTGTACAAAGCAGCTCATACCCTAGAGCTTCCTACACTCTGCCTGTGTCACTTTAAATATGAATCACTTCCATGCAAGTGCAGGCAGGACTGACTATCCCTTGGATCACCCTGCTCCAGATGAGCAGGTGCAGAGGACCTGGGGCAGGTACCTCCGTGGCTGTGGGGGCGACTGAGGTGAGGCAGAGCAGTTACCTGAGGTGAGTCCCAACCAGCATTAGGGGCTGCTGAGGCCAACAGTCCTCTCCAAGCAGCACCCTGGCCAGGACAAGCACCATCCCACAGCTGAAGCTTGTCCTTGGCAGTGTCAGCACCTTCTCCAGAAACTGTGCTGAAAAAGGAAAAAAGCAGCATTAACTCAGCTCCACTTCTTGCTTCTTTTCCTGATCATTATCTGTGATCCTTCCCTGATTTTACATGTGTGCATTTTCATTGGGATTTTCAAACCTGTTTGCCACCAGGGATTTCCCTTTGGCACAAGTATTTCTTAAAACAGCAGTAGCGTCCCCCCTCCCATGGGGTTAATAATCCTGGCCTTCTCATGATCGCTGATACATAAAACCATACAGGAACGATATAGATGGCTTTGTCCAATCTCTGAACTAACCAAGTGGACATAATGCCCAGTTAATCTTCATTAAAGTGGGAGCCATGCTGTGCCATCTGCCGGCAGCCAGCACTGGGCAGCTGACACGCCGCGTTCCCTCCGGCCTCCAGCCTTAATCCCAGTATTTCTGGGGAGCGTGTCCGTAATGGCACGCTAATTGGTTATTTCCCTCATTTACTGCTCACGTGGAAGTTGCCAGAATTTTGCTTGCCAGCTGTCTGGAGCTTTCCAAGGAAGCAGAGAGCCAGATCCATCAAAGACCCTGAGTGAGCCCTTCATTTTTGTACCAAGTGTGAAACATGCACGAGCAGGTGCTGTAGTAATGAGATCAGGGAGCACCTCTGCTGGATATTTTCCACATCCCATGTGATGCCTGTTACACAACACCATTCCTCGCCCAAAAAAGCACCTAAGCTGCTTTTTTTTTCCAGCACCTTACCTCTTACTGACCTCTTGGCAAAGCCTCCAGAGCCTAGCTCAGTGTTATCAGTGGCAGCCTCCATCACAGTCCCAGTTCCCAGCGGGAAAAGCTCTAGTTCCCTCCTCAGCAAGGCTGGGACCCTTCTCCCTTGTAAAGAGCGGCCAACACTGTTTATTGCTGCCAGAATAAGAGCAGATGAGTGAGCACAGGTGAAGGACATTTATCCCCACACCTCAAAGGTTACACATCTCACCTCTGGCCATCAGGGTACAGAGAGCACTGCTCTATCCAGAAGATTTGTTCAGTCCATCTGGACATAGAAGGACTGATCCCATCTGTCCAGCTTAAGCTTACTAACCACCAGCCTTGAAAACTACCAAAATATTCCTGAGACAGCAATGAACAGCATGTTCCTGCCAGGAACAGGCCTGGGGTATAAAGCTTTATATCACAACCCTACAGAAGCACATTTCACTCACAGAGGATGAGCAGAGCACCTGCATGTTTGAATTACAGCACCTGGCCTGGGACAGGGTCAGGTACACACTCACATCTTGGCTTCCCCCAAGAACATCACACACAGAAAAAAAAAAAAACCATGATATGCACTGACATTTCTTTGCAATTACTCTCCTTAATTTCCTATGGGAAACCAACACCTTTCAGATGGTACTGGCAAACAAATCAAGGCATGGGCTCCCCAGACCTGTTCCAGACCAAGTACAGGTGTTGCCTGAGACAATTTTTGTTAAACCTTAGAAAAATTAATCACTTTGTCCTCCTTTACAGCCTGGGCTGGAAATGGCCACTCACAGTCAGCTCCTGGCAAGAACTTGACATGGGGTTAAAATGCATTTACCCACTAGAAGGCATGGAATTATTCCAAACATCCTGAAAGTTTACTTGGCAGCTGAAGACATCACACCTTACCCACTTGTCCTGCAGCAGTGCTACATAGTCCTGTAGCAGCAAACAACTGTTAGCATTTATCATAGGTGAACTTAATGTGTTATCACAGACAGATAGGTAGGAGATAGACAAGTCCTTGCTTGGCTTCTCACTGCACTCAGGAGGGGAAACACTATTTTAGACCACATGGGATTAAGTAATGTAAGACAACCTAAAAGTAGTGCTTGTACATTTAAGAACTAACAAAAGAGTTAATTAAAATAATTAAATACCATAACCACATCTCTCCTTCTGCAGCTCAACACAGGAACAGGATGGACCAGAACACAACAGCAAAAAGGACAAGACAGTGAGAGCTGCTGTGCCCCCTTCTCAAGCCACCCTCAGGAGATCCATCTATCCCATCCCATCTCCCTACCAATCTCACATGGCCCATTTCACTCCCTTTGCTTGACACCTCGCTTGCAACCTCTCAAGGTTCCCTGTTTATGGAAACATGACAGCACCACAACAGAGGAAAATACCTTAACACATGGGCAAGTGTGCAAAGTGCCCTGTGCCACTTGGAGATAGCACCTTCTGAAAAAAAAAAAAACCCAAGTACCACCCCACCCCCAACTTCCTTAAGAATAAAATTCACAACATCCTTTACAAAACTTTTATTGGATTCAGGACTGCTACTGGCAGCTCTTATAGAAAAGTGAGTGTCACTTGAGCTTCCTGCTCTTCTTGACGCCGGCGCGGATGCCGGACAGCTCCCCGGCGTATCTGTGCAGCTCCCTGCGCACCTCCCGCACCTGCCCCTTGCGGCGGATCTTGGCACGACGGAACTTCTCCCGATGCTTCACCCTGGGGTTGCGATCAATCTTCCTCCTTTTGGGCGTGAGGCCTTTGTTCTTGATCATCTGGTAGGTCACCCCCCTCTTCTTACTGGGATCCTCTGCTTCCGACACTGCTTCTTCTCCAAGCACGTCTTCATCTCCAGGTCTCTTCCTCTTGAGTGCCAGCTTCTCCTCCATCATCTTGTAGTATTTTAGGGCAGCCTCCTCATCCAGCTCCGACTCACCTGACGACTCAGAAGCAGCAGCAGCAGCCTGGCCATTAGCAAGTGCAGAGGCCTGTTTTGATTTGTTTTTCTTGCCATCCATGGTGAGAAACACTGCAAACTTGTTTTCCTTCTGTAACCTCTTTTCCTTCTTGTCATAGTAGCTCCTCAGAAGCACACGGACCTGTGGGGATAACTTCTGGTCTATGACAGCAAGGTCATTGATGATATTTCTGTAAGCCACCAGCCGTTCGATGATGGGGTGACTATGAACTGGCACCCTCTTGGACTTCAAAACCAGATAGAAGCTGATATTAGCACAGTAGTTCAGGTACAGATGATACTTGGTCTGCAAATAGCGACTGCCCTTCCCTTGGGGGATAGTGCCGTCTTTGACCATCTGCAGCAGTGGGAGCAGCTCATCCTTGATTTCCATAAGCTTCACTTCCAAGTCCTCCATCAGCTGCAGGAGCTCAGGGGACTCCTGCTTCAGCAGCTTCAGCTGCTCCTTCTTGGAGAGGGCCTGCAGATTCTTGTCAATCTTCTGCCCCGTGCTATCGTGGGTTTTGCGCTGCTCAGCCAGGTAGCCCTGAATCATATCCAGCCCGTAGTCATCCTCCCCCAAGTCCTGCACTAACCGCCTCTGGATCACCTGAGCCTCCTGCTCCTCTTCCTCCTCCTCGGCATCGATCTCCTGCTGGCTCCGCTTGCCCTTGGCCTGGGCATCACTCCCGTAGTCCGTGTCATAGTACAGCTGCTTCCGCTGGCCCCAGGAGAGCTCGTGGGGGAGCTTGGTGTCCGGTCGCTTCTCCTCCAAGTCGCTTTCCATGGACAGGTCCCCATCTTCATCCTCAACCTCATTTTCCTCCTCCTCACCTTTCCCATCCTCATCTTCCTCTGCGTCTCCATCCTCATCCTCCTCTGCGCTGTGGTCCACGAAGAGATCCAGCCCCTGCTTCTCCTCCTCCTCCTCTTCTTCCTCCTCGCTGTCCTCCTCGGGCAGCTGCAGCCCCAGCACCTCCTCCTCCTCCTCCTCCTCGTCGCCGCTGTCCCCGGCCTCCTCGCCGCTGTCCAGGGCTGCCATCACGGCTCGGAACTGCGCCTCGTGGAACTGCTCCACGTCGTCCGCCAGCTCCTCGGGGCCGGCGCTGCCGCCGGGCGCCTCGTCCAGCCCATGGTCGTGCTCGGGGGACTGTGCCGGCGGCCGCAGGACGGTGCCGCGCCGGGTCCGCATGGCTCCCGCGGCTCCTCCGGCTCCTCCACACCGCCCCTTCCGCTTCCACCGCTCTCCTTCCGCTGCTCCGCCCGGCAGCTCAGCCCGGCCCCTTCCCGTTCCTGGTCCCGAGCGGGATCGGCCCAACGCCCACCATGAGATGGTGATACCTCCCGCAGCCCCCGGGGAGGGGGTTCCGGCCGTGGCAGCTCTCCGCAATCAGTGATGCCACATGGAAAAAGAGGGGGGAAAATAGCCTTTTTTTTTTTTCCTCCTCGGGGTTTTTTCTTCCCCTAAAAGCACAGCCCCGTACCGTTGCTGTCTTTGTGGTCATCTTGCACGAGGGGAAAAAAAAACACATGGAAAGTACACCTGACACCTGAATCCACCTCTGCACTCCTTGGACCCATCCTTGTATGCAAATAGATCCATGCGTCCCAGACAAGGAGCAATTCTGATTTTTCGACACCCGAGGACCCCACATCGGGAGGGTTTTTAAGGCAATCTCTACTTATCCGCCTTTGAATTCTCATCCTGTGTTTGTGTGTACCTGTCATCCCTCTCAGAGCACCCAGCCCAGCCTCCCAGCTTTCCCAAGGGAAAAATCATGTTATTACTCAGCCACATGGAAACAGTCTGCTTTGGAAAACTACAGGCAGCCCTTCCAGAAGAGCAGCCGGAATCACATTAGTGTATTCCGAGCTCAGAAACCCAGAACCTGATAAATTAAGCACCCCCCACGTCCCAGCAATAGCAGTTCTGTGTTCAGGAAGTGCAGGTGCTTTTTTTCTCACCACAGAACAGGTGCAGTTATATTTATAATAAATGCTCCTGTCCACCTCTCCATGGAAAAAAAAAATGTCAAGCAAATGTTCAAATTAACAGAATGGTGTGCAAAACTTGACTCACTTTTAGGTGATTCATTTGGATTCTGGTCGATCTGATGGCAGACAGGTCTCATTTGTAACTTTGATATGCTCCTCCTTTCCACACGGTTACCTCTGGGTCAACACTTTCTTGCACAAAGGCAGGTTTTCCCTCAGCTGCCTTTTCCAAACCTGTCCCTGCTGGTTTTCAGCCATCACCTCCCTGAAGAAGAAAGAGCAACAAGTATAAGTTGGGTTTGGTATCATTTAATTTGTTAGCCACTCCTCGGGGGAACTTCTCACTTGATACCGGTTGGCCACTAAATGTAGCTGTCCCTGGTGATCAGGCTTTGTCATCTGGCTGCTCAATCCTGCTGGGTTTCTGTGTGAATCCAACCAGAGACAGCTGCAGCCAATTCCTGCAAGGTTAAAATTCCAGATAACTTTTGCAGGTGTGACTTAGCAAAATCCAGGACTCCCTCATTTCCCTGGCCCTGATATTACCCTCTAACTGACCTTATTTTGTTTCAAATATGGCCTTTCAAAATTCAGAGCCTTAACAAAAGACTAACTTGCACTTGGACTCTCATGGATTTTAATGGCATTGACACATTGTCTCTCAACCCAAAGTTTATTTCCAAGAGCAGAAAACAGTGTACAGGTATTTGAACTCTGTCCAAGACTTGCTGAAAACACCACCCACTTCTGGAGAAGCTGGATATGTCCTCCAGCATGAGTTAGTTCAGGCAGTTACCAGAAGCTGCTCAAGCCAAAGCAGTCTGCTGTGAGCATCAATGGAATCATTGCTATCAACACAATTATCAGGGAATGCTACGGGGTCTGTTTAAATCCACCATTTTCTTGGCATCCCAGTGAGAAAGGAGGAGTGAAGGGAAGCATAGGACAGACTGTGGATGGCGAGTTATCTGGAGAGACCCCGTGCCCTGGTGTCATCCTCCTCACCCGTCACAGCAAGGACACACACAGACAACTATTCTGCCTCACTTCATCCAGGTACTTGCCCAGCTTCTTACCTGGAAAATCCTAGTTCAGCCTGTCAAGACCCAGCTGGAGGCACAGGACAAGTGAAAGGAGACTGAGACTGCAAGGCTGGCTCCCATTTCTTTTCCAGTGCTCAATTATTCCTCTGCTGGCCTCTGCCCCACAGGGAGGTTGGGAGTCCAGCTCCTCACTCAGCCAGAAATGGAGCCTGGACTGATGGACTGCCAGTCCCTTGCCAAAACACCTGCTTGCCCAGATAAATTTTTTGGTAATTCAAAATGTTACCCACTAAAAAGGGGATAGTCCATGGAAGTAACAGTCCATAAAACAGACCTTCCTCTCAAGAGCTTGCAATCTTGCTAGAAACCCCAGAGACATGCAGGTGGCTGAAGGGGACTAAAAATAGCCCTCATGTCACCATATCCAGACCGAAGGGACTGTACGCACACGTGTAGATTTAGCAACCGAAATCCAGATATGCTGAACACCAGCAGCCAGGGAAAACCACTGAAATCAACAGAAACACAGAACATAGTTCTGCTCAGTCTCTGCCTTGGGGTTAGAAAATACTCAGGTGGGGTTTTCCCTTGGATTTTCCCAGTGACATATTTTTATTAGTGTATTTTGGCAAAGGAGACCAGACCCAGCCTCCTTTGCATGTGCTTTATCCTGGTGCCTGCTTTTCCCCCTTCCTGGATAATTCTAAGAAAATGCTTTGTTACAGAAAAGGGTGACTGAAGCAAATAGTGCATTAAACAGACACCCCCACCAGCCCAGGTGAGCCAGGTTTATTTACCTTCTGCAAAAGTGGGGCACAGGGAACATCTTGCCACTGCCTCAGAGAGCGCTGCACACAACTGTTGGCAATACCTTCTGGGAGGAGGAGAGGAAGCAAACTCGAATCCTGCCCTCCTGTAGATGTATCCACGATGAGAAAACAGGGTTTGTAAAGAGCTATGGCAGAACCCAATGCCCTGCAAGGAGCTGGGCCGTCACCCATCATTGCCCCCCCAGCTCCCACACTCACCTTGCACATGGGCACTGCTGATGTAACCTGAAAGCTCATTGCATCAGGCAGCTGCAGGGTGAGATGTTTGTGCTTGGAAAAGCTCAGGGCACAGAATCAGGGGGCTTGGAAGAACCCCGGGGTTGGGGACCCAGCCTCTGAAAAGGGAGGATGGCCTGCAAGGTGACAGGAACTGGGATGCCTGGCAGCATTGCCTAATGACTTCAGCCTCTCAGAGAAGCCTGGCAAAAGCAATCAGGCCCTTGCTAAGACTGGGCTTTCCTTAACAAGTGGCCTTTTCTGCACTAGACACATGCAAATGCTACAGGGACAGCTCTCACCATTGCAGGTTACATTGCAACATTTGTGTGTCAGAGTTCCGTAAGTGATACTAAATCTGGGACAAAAGAAATCCAGGTCCTCTCCAGTATCTTCAGGAAAACCCTGCACGCCCAGTACCTCAGGGTTTGGTTGGGACCTGACTCAGGACCTCTCACCACAAATCCCATGGAGTCCCTTTTCCATTCTCAAGGAAATACACTCCTGGATGCAATGGGCAGAGCTGCTGGAAGAGCTCAGCTTGGCCCCAGAGCTGCTGTTGGCTTTACCTCTCTCACCCCTCCCCTCTCATCTTGCCTGCTTTGACTGCAGGCTCTCTGGGGGCAGCTCAGGCCCTTAATACAGGTTGGCACACAGCTGGTCCAAACAGGACTCACTTGGAAGCCTGAAGTGGTTTTTTAGTATGACTTAAATGATCTTTTAAGTCTGGTTTCTCACAATTAGGAGCCAGAGCTGTGGTCCTTGGACTTTCTTACTTTAGACTGGTCCTGATGGCAAAATGTCCCCTAAGGACCAGGGTGGTTTTGCACCTCCTTGCACTCAAGCAGCTTCATTGCCTGTTAGAGATGAACAGGAAAAAATACCTCAATAAAAGCACAACCCCCTGCCCCCTTCCCCTCTGAAAGCCAGAGGTCTTGGTGCACTCACACACCTGGTTTCAGTCCCCAAAGCCACATTTCCCGTGTCAGTGCAGCCAGCCGGGCTGTTTATTTTAGGAAACCCATTTGCACACACCCTTATAGGCAGAGACAGGCTCTGCACCCACATTCTTCAAAAGAAGGGGAGGCAGGATGAAGAACTCTTGGTTGCTGTGCGTGGCCTTGGCCGTCTCCTTGGGGATCATCCTTGTGGCAGGTAGGTGGAAAACTGGGATTAAAATATCAGTGGCAAGTTTTCTGTAATCTACAGATTCTGTAATCTACAGACAGTCAAAGGTCCAAACTCTAAGCCTGCTCAAGCAATCATGGTTCAGTGGTGCTTGGACACCTCTGTGTGTTTCTGCACCAGAGCTGTGTGGGTTTAGTTGCTACCTTGAGGACTAAGTGGTGTCTAGCTGCAAATTTAAACCTTGATGATTAGCCATTTCTTATCAGGTTGCTGAAGCAACAAACTGCCAACGCGCTTGCTTGCTTTTCTGCAGTGCTAGGGACATTGCAAGACTTTCGTGCTAGACTTAAAGGCTTCCAAAACCTTCCCGGTAATCCTGTCCTATGGCTGCAGCCAAGTTATTTTTGATTAAACAGTACTTTGTCACGTAACCCCACTGAATTTCTTGGGAACTCTTAATTTGCACCGAGATCAGAGTGTGCTCCCAGCACAATCCTCAGTGTGGGTCTCAGGTCTCTGTGTGACAGTCTGAAGCCATTGTCATGCACATGGTGCATCTGGTCTGCAGGATTACCTCACTGCTCAAGGATAACCATCCCAACAGCATGGACAGCTGCACCCGTGCATTTTCTCCAGCTTTTGGGAAAGGGCATCTTATTGCCCACCCAGGCAATTCTCTTGGGCTTCACAGTGTATCACAGGATGATCCAATATTGGAAAATGAGAAATTTTGTCCAAAAAACAGCTACGTAAGTATTGAGGAGGAAGGGAACACCTTAGCACAGGAAACCCAAACTGCAGACACTTAAAACAGCATTAGGTAATCTTCTACTTAAATACCTTCTCCCCAGAGGGACTTCATTGGGTGGCACATGGAGATATTGCTGACAAAATTGTATTTTTTGAGCACTGTAATTTTACTTGAAAAATAAATGGAGTTGCAGTAACTTTTTACAGTGAAGCCAAGAGCATTACACAAAGAATTAAATCAGGACAGCATTTTTAGAGCGCATTCAAAAAACCCTGCATATGCATAAAACAGCGTGTTAAACTAATTTTAGAATTAAAGCCTGCTCCCAAAGGCTTTGGGACAACCCCAAAGCCAATAGGATCTGACTTGAATATTGGCTTTGGATTAAGGGCTTGGAAAAAACTGCATACAACCTTATGTGGAATACAGCACAGACAGAAGAGCAAGGGCTGTGTGAAGGACAAGCCAGAGACCTTCCATGAGCCAAAAGAAAGACCAGGACAAGGAGCCAGGGACTAGAGAGGCTTTTCTGGGAAGCTTCTGCTTCAGAGAGAAGCGCTCACGTGGAGTGATGAGTTGGCAGAGAAGAAGCTTGCAGAGCAAGGAAGCAAAGTGATTTTTTTCCCAAGCTAGAAACTCCACAGAGAATCTTCCTCAGCAGGTGTTCTGCTGCCAAAGGCAGCCAAGGCCACAGAAACAACATTTGAAACCAGCAGGTGAACTCTAGGGTCACTCTGAGGCATCATTTCACACAGTTTTGGTGCCGTTGTCCCAGATACAGTGCCTGTAACAATCTCAGAAAACCTGGAATAGGAGCTGATGAGACCAGTATATTATAGGGGCCAGAAGGACCAAAGCTTTTAAGTCCAAGTGACTCCAAAGTCCTTTATAGACATGATTAACACAGATGTTTTCAGCCTACTTCTTCTTTCTCTCCATGATTAAACCAAGGGGCAAGCAGAGCAGGCAAGTCCATCTACTTGCCCAGTAAGGCAGCATTGCACAACACCAGGAACATTCCAAAAGCCTCTGGGTGACACATGGGATGTTTTAGCCTGTTTTAACCGAGTTTCATATTATGTAGCATGCTGACAGTGTGGGAGACATACTCAAAGAGAGAAGAAACAGCTTGGGTAAGAAAATCAGGACTAGAGTTTTCCCTGCAAAGCACAAGCATCATCAGGGCCACCTGCCCTTCCTTGGAATCAATCCAGGCACTGTATTGGTGCCCTCCTGGCATTCTCATCCCTTGGCTTTCTGCTAGAACAGCTTTCACAGCTTTTTTCCTTGACTCCGGGGTTGCATGTGCTGTGCTTGCAGGGTACCCGCTGGAGCCCGAGGATGAGGAGTATGTGCTGGTCAATAACAAGTGTCAGTGTGTGACAATGACCTCCAAGATCGTCCCCTCCAAAGAAGACCCTGATCAAGAAGTCCTGGAGAGACACATACGTATCCTGTAAGTGGCAGACAAATACTTCATGGAGGTGGTGAGCAAGTGATGAAGTGTTCCCTTTTCTGTGCACTCTTTCCCATGTCCTGGCACTGATGAAGGGGACAACTTGCCCCATGGGCTGCTTTCTGTGGTATCCTAAATACTTCCCTTTGTTTAGTGTTTTTCTACCTCACGTGAACCTCTCTGGTGTTTGTCCCTTCAGATACAAAAAGCATCCCCATGTTTTAAGCAGTCCAGTAGTAACTTCACAAAATAGGCTGGGGAAGTACAGTGTAACATGCCAACAGCTGATCTAATCTGAAACCAGATGAGGCCCATGCCACTGGATACTTCCCTGTCTGAAGGGAAGTATCTATTTTCCTAGACTGTAAGTCTAGGAAAATAGTTAAGGCCTAAACTACCAGAAAAGTTTAATGCTATGAGACAGATCTCAGTTCAAGAGTAGGACTTGGTCCTGTCCACTCCCACAAACCTAACTGAAGAGTGTGTGTGTCTGGGAAACAAGGACCAAGTTCAGGCTCAGAACTGCAGGATCTCTGGTAGAGCTCACAACAGGAGAGCCACTAGTGAAACATTCCAGTCCATGTCCTGCACATCTCCCAGGCATCTGCCAGCTCAGAGTTTAACAGAAGCAAACTGTCACCTTGAAAGTGGCCCTCAGAGGAGTTGCTGCAGTCCTCTTGGGGAGGGTCAGAATGGAAATAACCCAAGGAATGAGATGGGAGTTTAGAATTGCTCACAGCAGAGAGGACCCTGTTTAATAAGTAATTTCCATGAGTGATTCTCCTCCCTCCTTTGCAGAGTCCCCCTGAAGGCTCGAGAGAACATCTCTGACCCCTTGTCCCCACCGAGAACCAAGTTTGTCTACCGCATCTCTGAACTGTAAGTAGTTTTATTTACTAACTTAATTTCCCAAGACTTTAACCCACAGCAGCTCAAAAAGGTGCTTGAAGGCTGGGAGTTCCCATATAACACCTATAAAGGCTACAGGACTCGCTGGCTCCATCTGCAGATCGACAGGAAAGATTTGGGTTTCACCAAGGGCATGTTGTCATCACAACTCTTCACACTTGTTCTGTTCTCCATCTCTTGCAGCTGCAGAAACTGCAGTCCTGTAGAGGTTGATCTGGGTGGGAGGATCGTCCAGGCCCAGCAGGGCAACTTCTGTGATGAACCCCAGACCTGCTACACCTACGACAGAGAGCAGTGCTACAGCTCCCCCGTGCCCTTCCTGTACCAAGGGGAGGTGAAACGTGTCCCAGCAGCTCTGACACCGACATCCTGCTACGCTGATTAGGTGAACCCCTGCTGTGCTGAAGCCTGGCTGCACTCCCTGTTCCCATCCCAGATACAGGTGTAGCACCGTAGTACCCGGGTGGCAGAGTCCCAAATACCAGTCCCTACAGCAATGCCAGCTTGCCTCTCCGTATTTTCAGCATCAGACTAGTGCCATCTCCCAAGAACAGCTCCTGGTTGTCATCAGCTCTGTTCTCATATCCCTGGCACATACCTGCAATTCCAGTACATGTCTCAGACATGATCACTGTATAGACCAGATACACATCAGTGATCCCCTTGAAGCCAAGGGAACCACACTGATTTACAGCTCTGGGGAACCTGTCCTTGACAGTCTCCTGCGTGTCTCCACCTGAGCAAAGCTGCCACAGACATCAGCAGGAATGTCTGTGCACTTCCCGAGCCATCTAAAGCAAACCTCTGCACTCCCTTCATGCAAGACCTTTGATCATGTTAGCAGGATTTGTGCCACCCTTAGAAGGCTGTTGTACAACCGTATTTTAGGGACGGGAGTTCACATTTCAAAGTTATTTTACAATTGATGATCCTAGACCCTTCTAGCACTTGGACATCTGCAAGCTTTTAGTTCTCACAGATTCAGAGAAGATCAAAAGATGCCGCTACCCTGAAGTGTTTTGCAAAGTTGCCAAGACCTCAGCTGTGCCAGGAAAAGCCAACTCTTCCGGGAGATGTTGGGCAGTTCAATTCCCATGCTGCTTCACTGCTACTGCTGCCTTCTTCCACCCCTACTCCCACTTGAATTATTGAAAAAAACCCTCAACCTGGCTCAAGTTTCTTTTCTTCCTTGCTTTGCATTTAAAGCTTAAAAAAAAAAAAATCTGTGAAGGGGGACATGAAGTGCAAGAGCAGAACCCTGGTTTGGGATTCAGAATTGGAGTAACGAAATAGCAAAGACCTTATTCCTGTAGTTGTAGCTTTGTTAGTGAAATATTCAATAAAATTTTGTCTGCATCAGACTGTGTGTTCTATTTCAATTCAATAAGAAGACACGAGACACAGCCAAGTCTATAATCATATTCTTTTCTCCTTCACAAGGAATCAAACTCTCCCTAAATAACTGCTTATGCTTACAGGCAAAGTATCCCAAAATCCCAGAATAGAAATATTTCCATGCACTTGCAGAAACCCTGACAGATTGGGGCTGAACTGGTTTATCGTTATCTGCATCACTGAGCTGCTTCAAGGCCCTGTGAGTCAGGGCAGGATCA